TGATGATACACACTGGTAATTGTAATCATAGTCCTTGGGATGCTGAGGCAGGCAGATTGAGTTTAAGGTTCTCTTCGCTACATAGTGTGTCCCTGTCTCTTAAAGCACTTGGGCATCCTTTCTGTAAATTTTTAAATGTCCTTAGCCTTTACAATGATTTAGCTCTAGATATAAATCTGTCACAATGTGAGATTCTGTGACCTCTGTACTTTTTAGAAAGAGCCTGAGCTACATAAATAGAACTAGTGTCTGCTTTCTCAGATGCTAATTCTAGTTACAAAGTTGGAATGTATTAATAATAAAAGCAAGAACATTTTGGTTGGTAGTTGATGATTCCATCAACGTTCTGTGAGAATAGTGGTTACTCACTTTCAAATTATAAATGGGAGTTTTTCTCATGCTCACCAGTTCCCAAATAACCACTCAGAGGCTTAATATTACTCACAAATACTAGGCCAATGGCTCAGACTTATTATTAGCTAACTCTTACATTTATATTAACCCATAATTTTTTTATCTATTCTTTGTCACGTGGTTCATTGCATGTTACTTCATATTTTACCTGCCTTGCTTCCTCAGCCTGGTGTCACCCAGACTCTGCCCTTCTCTTATATCTCTGCTTGGATTTACTGCCTCACTCTGTCCTGCTTTGCCATAGGCCAAAACAGCTTTATTTATCAACCAATGAGAGCAACACATACAGTGTAAAAAAAGACATCCCACATCAATGGATTTTCTTCATGTCATTAAATTCTAGAAATTCTCATTATTTGAACATACATGCTGTTTTGTTTTGTTGTTTTGAGTGTGGGGTTTGGGAATTGTTAATGAAGTATTGATGAAGGACTTCAGTTTTTATATTCTTGAGGTAAATACTTTAAAACAAATTGTTAGTTTTTGTTGTTAAGAAATATGTCTTCTAGGACTGTGCACGATTGACAAATGTATTTAGTTCCAGTATTTGGGAGACAGATGAAGGTGGATTTCTTGGAGTTGGAGGTCAGCTTGATTTGCATACTAAGTTCCAGATCAGCCAGTAAGATCCTTTCTAAATACACACACATACACATACACAGGGACACACCATCAACAACAAAAAAACCCCACTCATCGAGTTTACAGTGGGACACATAATTGCTATTGGAATTCTCAAAAATGAGAGTTTTGTTAGGAAGTTTGCTTTTGATTAGTTACAGGTGGCAAAAGCATTTTTCTTTCTGAATTGGAAGCATTTTAAGTTGCTATTATGGTGGAAATTTCATACAGAGGAAGAATTTCCTGTATGAAAAGACTGACTGGTGGAATTAAGGAACCGTGGAGAAATATACAGCAGAGTTTATACAGTTTTTCATCTAGCAATATTTGCATAACTTTTGTTTTGCATTTGGTCTGTTCTGGTATATAATCTTATCATGAATTCTTCATTTTTCCTGTTTTGTTGTATTAGAAACTGTGGAGTTAGCCTTCTTTCCATGTGATTGCTTGTGGGCCAAGCAGAGTTCTTAAAGGTTATAGTGAAAAGTTGTTAGATGTCCTTTAACTTGGCATTTGAAAATTAAACTATGGGTTTGGGTTTGTTTTTCAACTTTTTGACAAGGGCAAATTTCTGTAGCCTGTTTGTTTAATATAACTAAGAAACACAATTTTGGGTGGATGGATTCATTCTGCCTCCTTCCTTCATTTTTCTCTCTTATTACCTACCTCTTCCACTTTCTCCCCATTCTCTCTTCCTGTTTGTTTGTTTTGTTTTTTTGAGAAAGGGTCTCATACAACTTAGACTGGCCTTTTAACTTCTCTGTGTAGCCAGCCTTGACCTTGTGGCAGCCCTTCTGCCTGGAGTACCGTGCCCAGCTGGGTGCTTGCTTAAACTGTACATATATATCCAGGATATGCCAGTAATTCATAGTACTTGGAAGACAGGCAGGGAGTTGAAGCCTAGCCTGATTTACATGGGAATGTCCGGTGAGCCTGGGACAAATAGTTAGAAAGTGTACAAATTTATAGCAAGATGAGTGCATTTATTTAAGAAATATGAGTGACCGCTGTATGTGTGATATTGTTTCTGGTCTCTGGGGAAATAATGGAGGGCAAAGTAACTCTGTCCACACAAAAAACTAGATAGTAGTCATAAACAAAGTAAGATGAGTTAAGTAGTAACTCCATGATGGCATGGAGTTACAGAAGTGCCCTTAGTATTTGTTGATATGAATTAATATTCAAAGAAATGTATCTGATAAATGTGACATTTCAGCAAAGATCTATAGGAAGAAAGCGAGAAAGCAAGTTACTTGGGAGAAGGGCATCCCAGTGAGAAGGAACAGCAGTGCAAGGCATTTGAGGTATTTCGAGTTTGTGAAGCATTGCAAAGAAAGACATTGGGATAACTGAAATAAACTTGAAGTGGGAGTATTGGTTGTACTTTGCAGAATAGTTTATCATACTTCTTTGATATTCATACTGGCAACATTTCTCAAACATTGCGGTAACTCCCTTCAGAGTCTCCATGCTGAGATTAAAAGGGTGGGCTTTTTGGATATTTAGATGTGATGACAAAATTTAGATTACTGATGTGTAGAATGTATGTCTCTATTAACAGATGCAGAGAGAAGAGGTAGGAGTCCCACCTTCGTGCAGTTTGATGGCAGGTTTAACTTTGGGAATAGAAAGATGCCCCAAAGGATTGAGGAAAATGGCTTAGTTGTAAAGTGATTGCTGTACAAGTATGAGAATCTGAATTTGTATTCCCAGCACTCATGTAAATAGCTGTACATAGAGGCAGGCACCTTTTACCCTAACACTGGAGAATACAGAGGCAGGAAGACATCAAGGGCTTGCTGGCCAGCCAGTCAAGCTGAAACAGGTAAAGTGACAGACCCTGTCTCCAAAAATGTGGAGAGCAATAGATAAGACACCTGGCATTAATCTCTGGCCTATGTGCACATTGTACTCACTTGCTCACATGTTCACAAAAATATGCACAAGAATATACACATACAGCACCAAACAAAAAATTTGATGATAATTTGAGGCAGTAGTTTACTATATTACAAAACTCAAGTAGTTTTCTCAAGATAGCTTCTGGAAGGATATAGAAGAAATATCTAAGGATAAAAAGCTAAATGGGAGGAAGGAGTGGGGGGGAACACCAGAAGTTTAGTTTCTTAAAACCAAGCATCAGGTCAGACCAGAGTCAAGTGTCATAGCATATATGCTATGACCTCATTATTTGGGAGGCTGATACAGGAGGATGGATCATGAGTAGAACAAGCCTGTCTATATAAGGAAGACCTGGTCTTTAGACAAAGAAATAAATAGTCCTAGGTAGGCTTTGCCAAAGCAGATTGTTTCTGGAATAGAGCAAACATTAGACATTCAGTGCTGTAGAACAGGTGTAAAGTAGTATGAAGGTTCAGAGAAGGCAGATTGGATCCCTTTATTTTTTTAAACTCTCAAGCCAGACAGTACACACCCAAGTTGAATTTACTGTTTTGGTTTTGTTACAGTTGATCTGAGTTGTGAAAGCTTTTGTCATTTAGCTGCCTGTAGGCTTTGTGTATCATTGTGTGGTGTTTTGTTCTTCAAGCAGTATTGGCTTGGGTAATTACTTGAGTTGTTCAGCAAATGTTAAATTAGATCAACTAAAGCAAGCATTTTAAAGAACTGCAAGCAAATAACTATTCTTAATTACATTGTCATTTCTTGCAAGCAGTCAAGGCCAAGTTAGGTCATCTGCATTAATGTTGTCATTTTCAACTAAACTGTGAACAAATTAATCAGTCGTGGGTAGTTATAATAACTTTTATAATAGTTATATCTGACATTTGTACATCATATTTGATACACATTTTAAAGGTAAAACAAGTCATGTCTGACTCTTACCTTTCTATTCTTTAGAATGCATCACATTCTATATTGAATTTGCCACTAAAATTTTAAAGCAGATTGTAGGTAAAAATCTGAGGTCCAGTAAAAATTTTATTTTTTCTCTTTTGGGTAATCAAGCAGTTGTGGGCTAGTTGTGTTTTATAGTAATGCCTTTGCGTTTGAAATCAAATTGGAACTCAGGCCACATGTGGTAGCACATGCTTATCTCAGTACTCAGGCAGGCGAGTTTTCTGTGAGTTGATTCCAGGGCTACATGGAGAGACCCTGCCTCAAAAACAAAACAACAACAACAAAGACAAAAACAAAAGAAAAGGAAATAAGTAAATGGATAGAGAGATCCTGCCTCAAATAAGTAAATAAATAGAATAACATTGGAACTTTAGCAGTATGAATCATTTTTAATTTGGGAACTTGAATCTGTTTTCAGTTTTGTTTGTCAGAACTAGCCAGCTGATGAAAATGGCTATCTGAGTTAACTAATTTCCTTTTCCTGCTAGTATAGACGGTACTGTAAAGTAGACTCTCATATAGGTGGCCAGCCTTCCTGCTCAAACTTCTAGATGTGTGATTTCTTTTGAAAGATTTTTTTAAAAGAAAATGTTAACAGATTCAACTCTAAAGGGATGAATACAGCCAGAATTGTAACTTTGAAAGTTACAGGTAGTAAGGCATCCGTAACTCCTTAGAGTTCCAAAGCAATTAATTTTGAGATGAATAAGGCACTTGATGCTGAATAATAATACCTAAGGGAGCCAGATTAATATTCTGATACTGATCATCTATGTAAAATTAACCAGTACTCTCATCTACTCTCTCTTGAAGAGGTTTTTAAATTAATTACATTTATTTACTGTCATTTAATTATGTTGTTTATGTGTGCAAGTGTACATGCAGAGAGAGAGAGGGAGGGAGGGAGGGAGGGAGGGAGGGAGGGAGGGAGGGAGGGAGGGAGGGAGGGAGGGAGGGAGGGAGAGGAGAGGAGAGAGGATAAAGGAGAAGAGAATGCTCATGGGGGTGTGTGTCCAGCTCCCTCACACCTTTTGGGTCCTGGGTTTTGAACTTGGATCATCAAATCAAACCAGAGAATAAATTAACCTTTTTTTTTAAAATTACAGACTTAATTCAGTGTACAAATGAGATGAATGTGAACATCCCACAGTTGGCAGACAGTTTATTTGAAAGAACTACTAACAGTAGTTGGGTGGTGGTCTTCAAATCACTCATTACAACTCATCATTTGATGGTGTATGGAAATGAGGTAAGAAAAAATATTTTGTTTATTATTGTGTTGGGTGGGAGGTTGAGTTTCAGGGATCAAACTCAAGTCGTCAAGTCATGTTTACATGCTGAGTCCAGGAAAAACATAATTATATAAAAAAAAACTGATAAATATATTGGTGTGGTTACTGATTATTTAACTTGCTTTGCTTATTCATGATAACTCCTGCAGCTGAATGTAGATAAAAAGAGCAAGTCATATGGCCAAAAATAAAAATCTCAACTCCTGGTGAATAAACTAGAAAATAGAACATAGGTCTGAGCACACAGGGCTTTAATAAGGAAATGGAGAAGTACAGATAATTCAGAGTATAAGCAGCACTGGTCTTTCCAGTCTTCATTTATAAACTATATGTCTATATCTGCTTGATGATGATTATGATTATTACCCATTGAGTTGCTGTCTGACTGCATATGGTTGTCTTTGGAAATACTTTGCTTAGTGTAGAGGATTATACTATTAACTGCTAAAGTGACATTTTGCTGAGATACTAATAAAGAATGTCTTCATCATAGAGAGGGGTTCCTGGTGCCTTTGCTGCTCAGGAGGGTAAACCAGTATGACCTACATAGAGGCCTTGATGGATGTTCTGTGTGGAAAAAGTCGTTCTGTTTTCCATGATAGCCTATTCAGTCACTGTTTGGTTCTTAACCTTGTATGGGTTTCTCAGCTGCTCTACTTACTTGTGACATTATGTTTAATAAAGCTGTTGTGGAATGAATGAAGCTAGATAAATCTGTATTGGTGAATAATTTGGAAGAAAAGATGCATCATAAGATAGTTCTGTAGTGGATGAGAAAGGCTTTCTTGTCCTGTTAGATTTCTGAACACCATGGTTTTTTGAACTCTGTCATTTTACTTACTATCTTAGGCTTTTCAGTCACTCCTCTTCTCTGACAAATACCAATGCAGCATTACTAAAATCCAGAATTAAAGAGGAATTTTCCTGCAGCTATATCATTCCAACAAATCTTAACTCCTGGCACATTTCTTTATTCACTTCTGGTTCTTGTCTGAAAGTTTTTTTTTTTTTTTTTTGGTAGTACCATTTTGTAGCAATAATCATACTTTTGATACAAAAGTGTATTTGCTTATGTGTTCTGCTTATTATTAAGTATCACCATGTTTTGTATTATCATTGTCAAATAGTGTCATTCCAGTTTTCTTCTTTTTTAATAATTTCTTTTTATTTTATGTGCATTGATGACTTACCTACATGTGTCTGTGTGAGGGTGACAGGTGCTCTAGAACTGGAGTTAAACAGTTACAAGCTGCCATTGGGTACTGGAAATTGAACCTGAATCCTCAGGAATAGCAGTCAGTGCTCTAAACCACTGAGCCATCTTCCAGCCACTTACCCCCTTTGTTGTTTTTTTCAAACAGAGTTTCTCTGTGTAACAGCTCTGACTGTCCTGAAACTCTATTTGTACACCAGGCTGGCCTCTGCCTCCTGAGTGCTGGGATTAAAGGCATGTGCCACCACCACCTGTAAAATGGTAGTCGTCCCCCCCCCAGTTTTCTTAACTAATATGCATACTGGGAATTGAGCTTTCAGATTATTCATATTATAGCACCATATTGAGATTTGTTTGTAGTTTTAAAAAATAGCTTCTGCAAGTGCTGCCTAAAATGTTTACTAGTCAGAGATACAGCAACTGTTAAGGATATGTGTTAGCCAGTTGCTTCTAAACTCATTCCAGCCAGTTCATAGATCTGGTTGAAATGTTTGGGTATGCTAGCTTAAATGTAACTCAAAACAGTTTGGCCTCAACTACAATAATAGTTTCTGCTTAACACAAGTGTGTTTGCTCAAGGGTATTCATTCTGAAGACTTTCATGAGCCACAAATACAGCCAACTATATATAATACCAGACAAAGAGGCAAAGTATCAGTGTTAGTTTTCAGATGTTGAAATGAGGCAGTAGTACGGCATACCAGTGTTGGTAAAGGAAAATAGAAAGTGATTGCTATTTCTAACAGTTGGCCAACAGATAGGAGAAAGCATTTCATTTTTGTACATAAACTCCTGTCCCCCCCCCCCCCTTGCTCAGGGTCTTTCTTTTCTCTCAACTCAGGTTTATCTACTGGCAACTCTGTAGCCTGTGAGAAGGTGTACACAGGGTTTCTTTGTGCTGTGGAAATGGGAATACCATAGAAGGGTAGCTCTTAACAGGGAAGGAAATAAAGTTTCACCCTCAGAGAACATTTGTTTACAAATAGAAGAGATCTACTTTTTTTTTTTTTTTTTTTTTTGGTTTGTCGAGACAGGGTTTCTCTGTGGCTTTGGAGGCTGTCCTGGAACTAGCTCTTGTAGACCAGGCTGGCCTCGAACTCACAGAGATCTGCCTGCCTCTGCCTCCCAAGTGCTAGGATTAAAGGCGTGCGCCACCAACGCCTGGCGAAGAGATCTACTATTAACCTGGTAGGTAGTGGTCATGGCTGTTCCTTATAATAGATAGGATAGAAACAAGGAATGATCTGTCCCTATTGCCATTAGTGTTAAAGTAGAGAAACCTCGACACAGAAAAAATCTCTAAAGATTGATTCTGTATTGTAGGGTTTTGACATGGGGTAGCTAGGAACTCCTATCCTCTTTTCCACATAATAACCATATGGCTTAAACAAGTCATTTCTGTCTGCTTTATATATCTTGTCAATTTTATGATAATACCATGATGAATAAGTAGAATTAACCAAGGCTTCTTAAACTTTTCTACTCATGACTCCCTTTTGCCCAGGAGAGTTTTATGTGTCTTGGCTATATGGTTATGAGAAATGTATGTACAGGGTCTGATGGAATGGCCTAGTGGGTTAAGACACTTGCTACCTTACTTGGCATCCTGAGTTGTATACCCATATCTCACATTTTAGGAGGAGAGGATGACTACACAGAGTTGGCTTCTTACCCCTACAAGTGGGCTGTGGTATGAGTGCATACGTACACACATACAAAATATAAAAAATGTAAAAACAGAAATTAGGTATACATATCCTATTTATTGATAATAAATTATAAAGAAATGTGAAAGAACTTTATTAATTATTAAAATGAACAAGTTTGTGTGTTAATGGGGGTAAATAAGCTTTGTTTTTTCAGTATAACGTCACTTTTATCTTAGTATCCGTGGGACTGAACACTGAACAAATTCATAGGAACATAGAGCAGTTTAGTCCCCCAAAAGACTTGCTTTTGTTGTTGAAGGGCTAACACAGGTGCATCACAGACATATCTGGCCAATGGAAAGTCCCCAGAAATGGACATCCTTTCTCCTGTTTCCCCATCATCCATGGCTAACAATGCCTTATTTTTGCAAAAAGGCAGCACTGTGGTGACTTAAAAGCTATCTATATTCAAAGACAATAGCTGTACAGTGAATATAACACGTGTTCATTACTGAAGGGACAAAATCCATAGCAACCCTTTTTTAATTCCAGGACAGTTACCTGAAATATTAATCACCTGCAAGACGTATGTCGTAAATACGCTTTTTTGTATTTACATAAGGAATTAAATATTGAGGCTAATAAGATAGCTCAGCAGATGAAAGTGTCAAACCTGAGTCAGTACATGGTCTGCCCATGGTAGAAGAAGAGAAGCTACTTCTGCAAATTTGTCCTGCTCTGACCCTGAATACATGCACTGTAGCATTCTCATTCACTTTCCCATCTTATCTTCACACAGATCATAAACACAATAGGTGAGGGAAAGAAATATTTAAAAAGTAGCTTCAGTCTTATATAAATATTTGATTTTGCAGGATATAAGAGTATTTACAGTTGATTGATACATTGGTTTTTAGAATCATCAATGTTTAGAAAGCCACTTCTCATTATACATTCTACAAAATGGCAGAAGTATGCTTAGGGGTGTCTCAGAAATTGTTAGAAATTTTTTTCCTAACCTTGAGCCAAATTTTAAAAGTCATTTAAAATTATATTTATTTCTGTTTGTGTGCATGTGCACAGACATACACTACCATGCATCTGTGGAAGTCTGAGGACAATTTCAGAGAGTAATGTCTCCTTTCACTATAGGCTCTGAGGATTGAACTCAGATAACTCGTTATCTGGCTTGATAGCAGACACCTATGCTTGTCTGGGTCAGTTCAGTGGCCTTTATTGGTTTGTTTAGTGAAACCTAAGTTAACAACCCAAACCAAAAAAAAAAATTAAATGAAACATTCTAACACGGTGCCATCTAAGATTTTTCTCATGTGATAGATGCTGAGGAATGACAGAAAATACTGAGTTTTTTTTTCATAATTATATCATGATTGTATAAGAGCAGAAAACTTTGTTGTATAAATAGTCACTGAAGTTCATAACATACAGTGGTCTCATCTGAGCGGAGATATTCAGGTAGCATTAGTTGGTATTCAGTGGTATGATGGCATGCACAGAGCAAAGTGTTTGTGTTATGTGTTCACAACCAAATGAGAGCTTCCAGAAGCATTGGATTTGTTACGTTTTTTTATTTGAAATTAATTTGGTTCTTGCCCATTCAGAACCCCTTTACTGTTGCCAGAATTTTCACAATTCCCATGTTCAATTCCATTACCCATATGCAGTCTTACCCTCAGTTTAAGGAAGAATACATTATAGCATGATAAATTGTTGGTGACTAAAATTTGTAGATAAATATCGGTTCCAAAAAAGGAAGTGTAGTGCTTTTAAACATTTTATTATGAAAAATTTCAAACATACTGAATCAGAGGCTAGTGTATTAAATGCTTATGTGCCTATCAGTCAGATTCAATATCACCACTATTTTGGCGTTTTTTGAAATGATACTTTTAGGATGGTGCATTCTTAACTACCTCAAATGAGAAACTATGAAGCCTTGCTATTTGCCAGATTGGTGACATGATGCTTGAGTTATTATCCTGCATTTTGAGGCATAAATCAAAACTTGATTAAAGCTGTGAGATTTATTATTCCTAAAGACTTACGTGAAATATCTTGATAGACTAGAATAAAACACATGTTACTAGAGTACGAAGGGAAGAAAAATTGTTATGAAAGCCTATAAAATCACAGTGATAATGTCCTGATATTTTTGTGTTTCTAAAACAGGATGAAACATAAGTCTGATTTATGAACTGCTTTTCAAAATGCTTGATTGTCAATTTGGGATGATGTCGTAAAGGTCAGATAGGGTGGTAGAGCTACTACATGTATTAAAACAGTGGGGAGGGGAAATGAAACTCTAAGAAGTGAAGTGAAAGGCATTCTCTTCTGTATGTCTGGAGTTGTATTGAAAGGACAGGATAATGTACTATGGTCACTTTGGAGAACACTTTGAGGGTGTTTTGAAAATATGTACTTTAATATAGATGCCTGCCTAATAAGTAGTTCAGCCTGAAGTATATCTTGACAATGATTTGCATGTGAATAACAAATACAAAGATGTCAGTGCATTGTTAATAGAGAACTTTAAGAAGGACTGAATACCTATAAATGAATAGATATGTAATTGTTGGAATACTAGGCTATTTATAGTAGATGTAGTAGTGGATCATTTTGTTGAGTTGCGCACATTGAAAAAGAGTACTCTATGGTATTTCTGTAAGTTAATTTTTAAAAGTGTTTGTTTTTGACATAGTCTTGGTGTGCATTCTTGTCTTGCCTGGAACTTACTTTTCTGTTGTATGTAGCCAGGGCTTGCCTCAAAATTTTCATCCTATTTCCTTAAGCTCCTGAATCTTAGGAGTACATTACACATAGCTTATACATTTCAAATAGAGTATAAAATTGTATCAGTGTGTACATCATAAATTGTCATAAAGTGTGTATACCTGCTTCAACAAAGTTGTCACATTGATGAGGGAAGGAGAAAATGAAATTAAAGATCTGTTTTCACTGGAGTATGATGTTGTGATTGTATCATAAACTCTGAAATGCATATTTTAATGTGTTTAACCTAGGCACTGGATAAGGAGGTCTCTTTAACATTCTCCTGTATGATTAGGAATATTTTGTTTTAAAAAAATCACAAAAATTGGGACCTCCCAAAGTTCAGATACTGGAGGTAGAGAGAGAGCTTAGTGAGTAAAGTGCTTATTGTACAGTGATGGGGACCTGAATTTGATACCCAGAGCTCAATATATATATGTGGAGAGAGAGAGGGAGAGGGAGAGGGAGAGGGAGAGGGGAGATTTAGATGGGAGGCTCGTGAGACAGTTCATTTAGGTGAAGCCACTTGCTGCCAGGTGTAAGGATCTAAGTTTGTTCTCTAGAACTCACATGGTGAAAATGGAACTGATCCCTTGAAGTTGTCCTTCGACCTTCACTTGTCATACAAATGTATGACTTGGTATTGTAATGATTTGTCATACAAAACCAGAATAAATAGTTAAAAAGTACAGATATAATCTTGGTTATACTTATCTGTGTCTTACTATGCTATAGTAAAGGCAGAATTATTGGTTGTAGTTTAAAGGTGTTTAATTCATTTAATTATTTTGACTTTAGTATTGCAGTTGTGGTCATCAGATTGTACTTAATGTATTAATGAAAACTATTATGTTTTTATGTTTGAAAACTAAAGAGAGTGAGGATGGGAAATTGAAATCAGCTCACTGAAATATGTTAACGATCACTTTCCTCCTACTTTCAAATTAAAAGTTTGTAAGATGGCAGCACCATAATCTTTTGTAATTGTTTATTTTCCAGCGTTTCATTCAGTATTTGGCTTCAAGAAACACATTGTTTAACTTAAGCAATTTTTTGGATAAAAGTGGATTGCAAGGTAAAAACTTTTTTTCCCCCTAGAAAACCAAGAGTAACCCCATATAATGGTTATTGAAACATTTGACTATATTAACATATTGATGCTTCAAATCACATTTTAGTTAATGTCTTTTAATTTGAAATTAAGGTTGATGTCATAGTTAGCACCTGAGTCTGTTTTAGACAGTACAGGGCAGTTATTTGCAAACATGGACTCTGGAGCTGCACTGCCTGTGTTTTACCACTTAGAACTCATGAACTTGATTAACTTTACTTTAGCACTGTGTTGCTGTCTGTAAAATTAGAAATGGTGGTAGTCACTGTTCAGTAGTTGTTTCTGTGACTTAACCTAGTTAATAACTAACCCTAAAGTGCTTAGAATAATGCCGGGCACACTGGGTATTTACTTTGTCATTGCTCCTTTTTAGATTTGTTTTATTATAAGAAGTACATAGTTGACGTTACACATTGTAGGGACAAAGTTGAGTTAAAGTATTGTTGACATTGATAACACGGCTGTTCCTTTTTTATTTAACTTTTAAAGACTTTTCATTGTATATATCAATATATGGTACTGTGTTCCATAACAGTATTTATACAGGTATAAAATGTGAGTTGAGAATTCTTACCTGATACCTATTGTGCTTCTCTAACAGTTCCCTTTGTTTCACTTTGAATCTAGTCACCTCAAATTGCCATATTCTGGTTATAGCCATCTATGTCCAGTCTGTTGTCTAGAACTGGGACATTAATATTATAGACTGTCAGAGCTAGGAAGGGTCACTAGCAGTGAGGTTCAATCTGAGAAGTGTCTTCAGAGAAGGTGAGACATGTTCAGGGCTTTGAGATGGAGCAGAGATTTCTTATGTAAGTACAGATGTACAAGATGTGAAATATTTAAGATTAATAGGAAAAATGAGTATGAACCAAATGTATGCATGACACATTGGAGAACATGTAGTGGAGGCTCTCAAGGGGCTATTTTATAGTTTAGTAGGAAACTGGGAAAGGATATTTGTAGGGGAAAAGAAAGTATGTGCTATAAGGAAAATAGCTGAACGTTAAGTTGGATCACAGTAGACTGATTGTTTGAAGTTATTTAGACTATTCTAGTCATTGCTCCATCCTAATATAGTTCATGAGAGCCTAGACCATGGTTCTTGCAGTGACAAAGTGAGAAGAATTTAGTGTGTTTGGATTATTGCTTGTTTCCTTTTGCTAAGTGGAAGTATGGCTTAGAATGAAAGGAAATATTGCTTAGAATGAATCTGCTTCCAGTGATTCTGGAATATAAGTGCATGAGACCCAGTGTTACAGAATTTAATTAATACTACTTAATTTAATAAAATTTACTTATTTATGTTATGTGTATATATCCTCATATTTGTATGCACACATATATGTGGGTTCCCTTGGAAGCCTGAAGAAGTCAGAGCATCAGATCCCATGGAGTGGAGTTGGAGGTGATTGTGAGTGCTGGGAACTCTGGTCCTCTGTAAGAATAGCTAGAGATGCTAACCTGAGCCATCTCTCCAGCCCCTCATTCAGTTGATTTTAATAAGAGGAACAACATACTGTGCTGGGATTATAGGCATGACCCATCATATCCAGCTTTGCAGATCTTTTTATTAGTGCTTCTTAATTCTTATTTAAATTTTACTTTAAGTCTGTAGGGGAAAAACTATGCAAACAATAGCTATAAAGTCAGCACAAACATCCAATAGTTTTATTTTGTTTTAATATTTCTAACTTGTATGTTTATTTTATGTGTATGGGTGTTTTGCCTGCATGTATGTCTCTGTGGCACATGTTTGCAGAGCCTACAGAGGCTGGATAAAGGCATTGATCCCTCGAAACTGGAATTACAGATGATTGTTAACTGCCATATCAGTGCTAGGAGTTGAACATTGATTCTCTGGAAGAGCACCTAGGCTTCTTAACTGCATAGCATCTCTTAAGATGCAGAAATTAACTAAAGTTAGTGGTAAAGAATTTTAGACTTTTATTACTTTTATGAAGAGGTAGATTATTTGTTTAGTATTTCCACCTACCTTACAGAATGCATTCTTGGTGGATGGCCCAGTAGGTAAAGGTGCTTGTTGCCAAACCAGACCCCCAGTTGATCCCACATGATGGAAAGAAGAATTCTACAAGTTGTGCTTTGACCTCCCCATGCATGCAGTGGCCAGGAAAGTGCACACATACACAGACACACATGTACCCAGATAGACACATATACACTTACTTACATATATTTTAAAAACATATTCTAGCCAGGTGGTGGTGTCACACACCTTTAGTCCCAGCACATGGGAGGCATAGGCAGGTGGGTCTCTGAGTTGGAGGACAGCCTGGTCTACAGAGTGAGTTCCAGGTCAGCCAGGGCTATACAGTGAAACCCTGTCTTGACAAACCAAACCAAAACAAGCAAAGAAACATATGTTCTATAAAGTTTTAGCAATAAGATTAATAGTCAACATTTATTCATTGAGATTTTTAGAAAGTCATTTTGATCACTGGTGTACTGGTGTTTTGTTGAGTGGCATCTGGTATCTGATATGTTAACTATAAAACTAGTGTAGTCAGTAGGATAACCTGCCTTATAATCAGTAGCTTCTAGTTATACATAAGGGAATGATACTGGAGCACGAAAGGTTGAAGAGAATTTTCAAATAAGTTGATTGAGACTTCGAAGAGAAAGAGGTATTTTTCCCTCTTAAGAATAGAAAAGAGGAGGGAACAGCATGAACCAAAACCCAAGAGAGTTCCATAACGTACATCAACAGGTGTGAGACTGGGTGGCCGCAGTTATTCCTTTTTCCAACCCTTGTCTGGTTCTGACTGTTTCGTAGGCATTCACTAAACATTTGCACATTGGTAAGGGTTAATACTAAATTACATATGTGCATTATGATTGTGTTTTTATAAAGCAGAGGTCAAATCAATTTAAATTTGTCTGAAGAAACTGACCTATTTTCCATTGAGAAAAATTTTTTAGACCTTTGACCCAGACAGTAGCTAAAATACAAGGTTTCTGGTATCTTAAAAATAATAGCGATGAGGTTTTATGTTGTTGATTATGATGAAACAGTGTTAGAGTGATTTATATGAATACTCAAGGTTTTATTGAAAATACTCATAAAATTGGTTGTGCCTTCAACATACATGTTACTGTCTTTACTGGACAGTGCTTTTCATATTTCTTACAAGGTTGGCACATGTGAGTTACACCTGTCCTAAATAACACAGCTAAACGTTTTACAAGTTTAAAAATAGAAGAAACTTCATTTCTATTTTTGAGGGATGGAATTATGGTTCTGCTGGGTGTTAAGCTTGAATTCTGAGGTTCTTAAATTGTGAAAGGGAACGTGATTTTATAACTCCTGAATAGTAAAGAATAGGCATGTGGGTCAGTTGAAGCAAAATAGACTTATTTTTAGTGAAATTATAAGGGTAAAGTTTTTAAAGCTGTATATGATACATCTGATTTTTAACATGACTCTAAAAAGTTTAATGTGAAACTTATTATTACTTAGTTTGCACCACTAAATGTAGTTGGGATACCATATTTTTGCTGTTGAATAATAAATTTATTTTAGTAGGTAAACTTTATATTTTAACATTCAGGAAAACTTTGTTTTACAGGGTATGATATGTCTACATTTATTAGACGGTATAGTAGATATCTAAATGAGAAGGCAGTTTCATACAGACAAGTTGCATTTGATTTCACAAAAGTGAAGAGAGGGTGAGTTATGTTTTAATTTCTAATTTAAATATCAAATACTATAAAACAATTATACTTGTGGATCACTGAACTTTACTCAGTTTTATAGTTTATTTTTCTTTGGAGGAATGCCATATACTTTCTGTAGTAGGATTTTTTTAAAAGTTCTATTTATCTTTATAATAACTTTGTTACAGTTCTCGTGATTAAAAGTTCATCCTTTTAAAATTTATAATTATTTTTAGTATGTACAAAATTATGTGACATAACCCTACTGTATGATTTAATTTCTTATAGTTTCTTCTCTCAGCCCCTATCCCTATTACCCACCACTCGGTTGATTATGTTCAGTTTTTTAGTTACCGTGTGATTCCATAAGAGTTTTAGGATCAGTATGTGAATTTTGGTAGAAAAAACAGCCAAGAATTTTAATTAGTTCTTTTGGTTATAGACAGGATCTCCTGTTTGCTTGGCTGGCCTTGAATTCTCACGAGGTCTGTCTAGGTCTACCTCCTGAGTCCTGGCCTTGCTTACAGCCAGGATTTTAAAAGTAGGAATAGCTAAATGTATAGATCTGTCTAGGTATTGTTGCCACTTGTAGCACGTCTAGTTTCTAATAAACATTGGGTATCTGTTCGTTCTTTCCTTTACTGTGGCATGGTGTTCGTGGAGGTCAGAAGACAGTTTTTAGGAGTTGGTCCTGGTCCTTTACCTTAGTTTCTGGGGATGCAACTCTGGTCCTTAGGCTTTTAGAAACATGCTTTACACTTACTTCACTTGCTGCCTCATTCCCAGAACTTCAGAGTTTTTATTTTGCAAGAGACTGCCCTAGAACTTGTGATACTCCTGCTCTGGTCTGTTTGTGTAATGAGATTACAGACCTGGCAAGAAGAAATTAAATGGAATCAGCTCCTGACTCTATAGTACTTAACTGTTTAATGATTTATGGCAATAGTTTCTTTTGCTTTTAAAGAAGTATAAATCTGCCTCTACATACAGGAATGACTGAGATTCGTGCCATTTCTTCTTGTGATAACTACACAATCCACCTGGCTGTATAATGCAAATCTTCACTTTCATTTAAAATAATATTTTATATGAATGGGTATTTTGCCTGCATGTATGTATGTACACTTTTTTTTTTTTTTTTAATCCCTACAGAAACCAGTAGAGGGGTTTGGATCTCCTAGATCTGGTATTACATATATATAGTTGTGAATTACATAGATTTGGTGGTGAATTATTTTTGGTTTTTCTAACAGGGCTGATGGAGTTATGAGAACAATGAACACAGAAAAACTCTTAAAGACTGTACCAATTATTCAAAATCAAATGGATGCACTTCTTGATTTTAATGTAAGTTGATATGCTTTTGTAATTCCAAAATCTCTTTAAAAACCTAGATAATCATAACTGGTTAGCTTTATGCCCAAGTTTTCATAATTTTTTCCATGTTGTAATACTGTTTGGCTAATGTTTGGGTTTTCTCTGGTGCTAGAATTTTAGTTTATACAGACTAAAACAAGTGATGGGGTAAAGTGCTTTATTAAAATTCTTCACAGGAATTTTAGATTTTAAAAATGAAGGATTTGTTTGTGCATAGCCTTTTCAATCCTTCACTTTTGTTTGGTAGGACTCAAAGCATGCCATCTATTTAGATAAAAGGAAGTTCAAATCTCATTTATGATCAATTGCTATCCATGTATTACATGTGGCATTGTATTCCCTGAAAATTTTAAATGATATTATTTGGGTGGTGAGTGTTGACTAAGTGTTCAACAAACTACTTATATGTTTCATAGATTAAAAAGTGTCACACTTTAATACCTAGTGACTTAAAAATCATTTTGTCATTTTTCTGATTTTATATAATTGAGAAGTTTTTGTTGTGACATTTGAAAATTTTATGAAATTAAAATTTCAGTGTTCACGGTAGCACTAGTGACCCATAGGCAGATTCTTGATTGGCTTGCGTATTGCTGTGGCTTTTGTCTTACAGTAGTACTGCTGGCTTACCTACAGAAGAGAATATAATTCCCAGGGCCTAAAATCTTTCCTTTCATAAAAAAGGAAGAAAAGCACTTGCTTGAAGACTATGGCTCTAGAAAGACACAGGAAACTGGTGTTGAGGGAACATTATTTTGGTTTATATCGAGCCCCAAAGGTCCAACCATGTATTTTTCACTTAATAAATAGTTTTGTCTCTATAAAATTATTTGTTTTGGTGTCTGTATTATACTTTATTGCATAGAAAATTTTACTTCATCTTACTCATAGGTTTTAAGCACACACTTTGCAAATCTATAACTTTGTAATAAAGTTATAATTAAGAGACTTAAGATGTAGGTGAGTAATTTCAAGATTTAAAAGATAAATGACTTTCACTTTTGGTCACAATTCTAAACTAGAATGAATGCTCAAAAGCTGCTTTTTGCTGTTGTTTTGTTTTTTTAACTTAGAAGTTTAAATTTGCCTATAATTCTGATTGTGAGAAATCAGAAAACTCATGTATTAGAAAACTTACCTGTAATGTATGTCCTAGGGAAAATAAGCCCTCTTTTCCTTTGGTGACATGTTTTAGCTTATTGTCTTTCCAGTGAGGAATCATTTTGTTACTGACATTTAAAACACAAGATAAGCTAATCTTATTTTCTGTTTCCCCTAGGTTAATAGTAATGAACTTACAAATGGGGTAATAAATGCTGCCTTCATGCTCCTGTTCAAAGATGCCATTAGACTATTTGCAGCATACAATGAAGGAATCATTAATTTATTGGGTAAATACTGAAATATCGTACATAACTTTTCTTATTTTGTGTTATGTAAATTAGTAATACTGATAGAGTAGTTGCCGTGAAGTCCATTGTGACACATGATAAACATTTATTTGAAGAAAAGGTTTTATTCCTGTACATACGCATATATCTGTATATCCACACAAGTGGATAAATTCTCATTTTTATAACTAGAATATTCAACTGTTAAACGTTGTTTTTGATATAATAATTTTTTTTGTAAAGTTAGATTGAGGCATGGTGGTATATTTTATGTTATATATACTTAAGTAGAAAAGCCTCATTTCTTTGTCCCAGAAAAAGTGTATTTCCTCAATATTTATTTTACAGTGAACCTTGTAAAACTAGCCTGTGAGTATGTATAATATTTTTCCCCTATAATATTTTGAAGTGCATGCCTGTGTGTGCTAGGTATTAAATAATCCAGGATTTCTTGGATGTTTAATTCATGCTGTATCACAGAGCTGTATGCCTAGTTTTCTTTTTTTAATTTATTTTAGGAACAATCTTATTTTACATATCAGTTACCTCATTCCCTCACCCACCCATCCTCCCATTGCTCCCCTACCCCCGCCAACTCCCAAACCCACCCCTCACCCACACCCCAAGGATAGTGAGGCCTTCCACGGGGGATCATCAGTCTCTGTCACATCATTGGGGGAGGGTCTAGGCCCTCTTTTCATGTATCTGAGCTGTAATAGTATCCCTCCATAGGGAATGGGTTCCCAAAGTCCATTTGTGCACTAGAAATAATCAGTAGCTCCACTGTTAGAGGTCCCATAGACTGCCCAGGCCTTTTAGCTGGCAGCCACATTCAGAGGACTTGGCTCGGTCCAATGCTGGTTCTCCAGCTTTACAACTAGGGTCTCTGTGCTCTCACTAGGTCAGGTCAACTGTTTCTGTGGGTTTCTCCAGTAGTAAGCCTAGTTCTTAAATTTAATTTTGAAATCAAAAATTATTTTTAAGCCAGTTAACATTTATTATTTGGGTACCTTTTACTTTGGGGAGATTTTTAGGAATTTGTGATTCTTTCTTACATATCAAGATGTAATTGAAATAGTTAATTTTGCATAGAAATATCTTTTAAAGATTTAATTTATTTAAACCGGGCGTTGGTGGCGCACGCCTTTAATCCCAGCACTCGGGAGGCAGAGGCAGGCGGATCTCTGTAAGTTTGAGACCAGCCTAGACTACCAAGCGAGTTCCAGGACAGCCTCCAAAGCCACAGAGAAACCCTGTCTTGAAAAACCAAAAAAAAAAAAAAGATTTAATTTATTTAAATGTGATTTCCATAGACTAGGGCAATACAAATACATGGAGGGGTGCTTTAATCCATGAAGACAGGTAAATTATACTTATTTTTTGTACCTGAACAAATAAAACTGTGGAAGTCATAGTCATTGACTTCATGATTGGTAAATGTCAAACTCTATATTACTGTATACAGATTAAATTTAAGGGAGCTTTTGAAGTGACATTGGATAAAGTTGTCATCTTAGAATGTTAGTACTGAGCTAGGCGTTGGTGGCACACGCCTTTAAACCCAGCACTCGGGAGGCAGAGGCAGGCGGATCTTTGTGAGTTCGAGACCAGTCTAGTCTACAGAGCGAGTTCCAGGACAGGCTCCAAAACAATACAGAGAACCTTGTCTTGGGGGGGAAAAAAAAAAGAATGTTAGTAATGTTGGTACTGGTATATTATTAGTAAAATATTTAGAAATAGATTTTAGTGTTTTAAATCGAGTAATATGTGCTTATGCGCAAATATCCCAAAGCAGTATTGTGAACAAAATAGTAATGTATGTTCCAGTAATTTTAAAAAATTGATTCTAATTTGCTTTAAGTATTCAAACTAATCTAGCACAAATTTTTGTTGTAGGATAAATTCTTTGGAAGAATTATGATCTTTTTAGAGATACAGCCTAATCCTTTTCCTTTTTTAGGAAACTTTAAATTTTTTTAAATGTAACTAAGTATTTTCATGCTTCTTTGGGCAGAAAAATATTTTGATATGAAAAAGAACCAGTGCAAAGAAGGTCTTGACATCTATAAGAAGTTCCTGACTAGAATGACAAGAATCTCAGAGTTTCTCAAAGTTGCAGAGGTAAGCTGCTTTGAAAGGCCTTATATGTTGGTTTATATGTGTAGATTTTGAAGAAATCATTACCCAAATGAAAGTATTTCAATATAATAAGGTTATATCTCACATTATTAATATACACTGTTAATTCTGTCAAATGGTATTAATATGACAATATTGAATAAGCTACATGCTATATATTTAATTTATATGGGGTGTTGAAAAGTAATCAATCTACTTTTACATTTTATATATCGCTACAAAATAAGATAGATTTTTGTACACTGGTGGCAGTGATGTCTGTGTTTAGAATTAACTATTTATATTTGAAGACTTACTGTGTTGATGGTGGAGAAGGTTCAGTATCAACCTAAGTTGTTTTTCATCCAGACAGGCCTTCAACTGAGCCATACAATTCCGTGTTTTTGCTCTCCTACATAAGTGAATTCTGCATACTTAATTACTGAGTATGAAAAGGTTATATGATAATCTAACTGTATAAAGCTCTTAAAAGTAATTATTATGAAGTTGTCACAGAGGCAGTTCTTATGTTTGCAGGCATCTTTTATATTTGCAAAGACAACTCATAAAGATTCCCCATCTTCTTTTTACCCTCTTATCCATCACTGCAATGAATGCTCCTTCTTTAGGATGTTTTGATCACGTACATTAGAGTCATTACTCTGGAATTACCGAGTTAGTGATTCTAGGCACTGTTACTCTTGTGATACTTTATCTATTTATTTTCAAGACAGGGTTCTTTTTTTTGTAGCCCTGGATGTTCTGGAACTCGCTGTGTAGACCAGGCCAGATTCAAACTCAGAGAAATCCACCTGCCTCTGCCCCCCTAGTGCTGGAATTAAAGGTGTGTGCCACCACCACCCAGCATAATAATTTATTCTTTAGCAAATGAAGTGACCTTGTTTTATGATGCCTGTAGAAATTTGCATTTGTTCAGGCAGGTTTTTCAAGAGAGAAATCTGAGTTTTGCTCCCTAGTCCCTTAGCATATTACAACTATGAGGAGGCAGGGTTTCTGATGTTGTGGTTGCAGTAAAGTTTTCAAGTAAGTTTTAATTTGTTGGCTTTGCTTTCTGGTCTCTTACATTCTATTTGGTAATTATAGTTACTGTTCTGTATCTAAAGCCCTTTCTTACCTTGAGGTTGCAGGTTTGACACAGATAGAATGCATTATCTGTTCATATGATCTAAGAAATATGAACGATACTGCTGTACAGTGTTGTTATGAGACTGTCTTTGGGCTTGCAGTGTCATTAAGAGACTTCACTTAAAATAAAGGCAATGGTAATCTCTTGAAATGTGTTCCAAGAGAACAGTTGTCTTAGTGTAAGTGATGAGCTATTAATATCTAAATTGGAATGAATTAGATTTCATTCTGAGACTCTTAAAGCTGAGAAAAAGAGAATGATTAGAAAATAAAGCATAGTCAAGGGAGAAATACGGGTTTCTAATGTAGGTCCTCAACTACATAGGAAGTAAGGGACTTTTTTGTTTGTTTGTTTTGTTAAGTGATTATGCTGGAAACTATCTAATGTGTGAACACCATAAAAATACAGTGAGGTTTTGTGTACATAGTTACATCCTACCTAAATATTACTTGATGTTTGTGAAAAATCTGATTACCACACTAAACAGACTTCTTTAAAATTATATTTGTGTATGTAGGCACTTCCGTGCCATGGCGTTTGTGTTGAGGTCAGAGAACAACTTGTGAGAGTCAGCTCTCTTTCTACCATGTAATTCCGGCATCAATCTCAGGTTGTCAAGCTTTGCAACAAGTGCCTTTCTATGATTAGCTCCTAAATAATGGGTTTTAAAAGTATTTTCTGTGGTGACTGTCAGGGGAAGAGTTTTTTTAAGAAAAAGACAGAAAATTAGTTTAAGGCAAGTTGGTGTCATTAGATTTATTTCTTTTTTGTATCCCTGGGAACTTGTTCATAGTCATTCTCATTTCTTCCAGTATTACTAAATGGCACATAGAAGAGGTAATGTTCATATTATTATAATTTCACTTGTATTGAATACAGCATTTTTTTTTCTTGCAGCAAGTTGGCATTGACAGAGGTGATATCCCAGATCTTTCACAGGTGAGTAGATTGTTAAAGCATGAGTCTACCTCCATGTGCACTGCAATGCCAAGATGAGTAGTCATTTCTGTCAAGAGTAGTACAATTTTTTCCTTACAGTTTTTTAACATTTTACTATATTGCTGAAGAGTTCTTTAACATTATGACACATACAGTGAATGAAGAACTTATCTCTAACTGTAGTGGGCCTGTCCACTGCAGTACTATAACAGCTGCATCTTGGAAAAGCCCACCCCAGCATGGGAAATGAATGACTTACGAAAGTTACACCCCTGAAGTTACCTATCCAGCTTGCAGGCAGTTTCACTTAGAGAATCTTCTTTCATAATAGATATTCATTAGTTGTATAGCCATAGGGAGGGACCTTGTAGATCTTCTTGCATTCTTAAATCTTACAGGCTTCCCTTCTTCCTTTAGGGGGGAATTATTTAGTTTTGAAGATATGCATACTCATTTCCTAAAGATACACATTTAAATCTAAATTCCACATATGGCAGAAAACATAGTATTTGTCTTTTCTGAGTCTGTCTTCTTTAACTTGATGGTTTATATTCCATCTATTTTTCTGATAGTATTATGATGTCCTTTCACTACAACTGAGTAAAAATTCACGATGTATATCTACTACATTTTTATCCATTCATATATTGATGGACATCTAGACTGGTGCCATACCATAGTTATTGTGAGCATCTAAGAAATAAACTTGGATGTCCAAGTATTTCTGACATGTTGATTTAGAATGTTTAGGTATATGACCAGTAGTATTATAACTGGGTCATTTGGTATTTCTATTTTTTATTTTTAAGATTTTTTTGTTTTATTCATGTGTCTATGTGAGTATATGTTGTGTGGGTGTGGGTGCCCAGGGAGGCCAGAAAGGGCATTGAATACCCACCCTGGAGCTGAGGTTAAAGTTTCTTGTAAGTCACCCTACATGGGTGCTTGGAAACAAACTTCAGGCCCTTTGGAAAGAGAAGCATGCCCTTTTAATTGCTTAGCCTTTTCTGTGGCCCAACTTTGTGTGTGTGTTTGTGTGTGTATATGTAATTTATAATTTATGTGTGCAGTATTTGTGACTGCAGGCAAACATGTACCACCGAACATGTGTGGAAGTCAGAGGACCCACTGTGTAGGTCCAGAGATCAAATTAAAGTTTTTGGTGGTTCTTATTAGTAAATTCAGTTAGTTGTGGCCAATAATAGTAATCATAATAGCAACAATAAGAGGTTAAAAATTTCTGTTTTGGCAGCTAAAAATTGGCCACTGGTGATTAGTACATGAGCTATGTATCTGTTTTTGTTGTATTCATGTTAGATGACATTTGTAAAATGTTGTAAATAGTTATGAAATTCCTAATATTTATGTAATTTCAGGCCCCCAGCAGTCTTCTTGATGCTTTAGAACAACATTTAGCATCTTTGGAAGGGAAGAAAATCAAAGATTCCACAGCTGCAAGCAGGTACTTTTTTTGGGGGGGGTTTAACGTGACAGGGTTTCTCTGTATTGTTTTGGAAGCTGTCGGTCCATCCTGGCCTTGAACTTACAGAGATCCGCCTGCCTCTGCATCCCGAGTGCTGGGATTAAAGGCGTGCGCCACCACCTCCCGGCACATTGTTTTGTTGAAGTGTAAAAATGATAGTTTTTCTTTTGGAAGGAGTAGATGAAACCAGCTCAAGTTGCAAGTTGTATGGTTTCTCTATCTTGATTAATTATCTGTAAGATTATTTTTAATGGACTTCCTGATACCAGTAAGTGTGGACGTATTTTATGATGATGACAATGATGCTTTATTCAGAATTGTGGTTTTAATGCTTGGGTGTGTATCATGCTTCAAAATCAAAAGATAATTTTGTATTAATTTACTCAACCCTTAGATTTTCCCCGTGGTAGATACAGTAGGAATACCAGGATTCAGGCTTAGGATGTCTGACATTATATTTCATTTTTTATACCTTTTGATGAGTTTTGTTTTTTTTGTTTTTTTTTTTTTTTTAGTTTTACGAGACAGGGTTTCTCTGTATTGTTTTGGAGGCTGTCGGTCCAGCCTGGCCTCGAACTAGAGATTGATTTTTTTTTTTTTTTTTTTGGTTTTTGAGACAGGGTTTCTCTGTGGCTTTGGAGGCTGTCCTGGAACTAGCTCTTGTAGACCAGGCTGGCCTCGAACTCACAGAAATCCGCCTGCCTCTGCCTCCCAAGTGCTGGGATTAAAGGCGTGCACCACCAACGCCCGGCTGAGATTTATTTTTATGTTCCATTTTAATCAAGTTTTGAGCTAACTGGGAACAGTTCACCTGGCAAATTACAAATAATAGAAATTATCTCATAATCACTAATTTTAGTCGGGTGTAGTAATTGCTTGAATAATTATCATGTTTTCTTATGAAGATTTTACCTCTTTATTTAAAATAATATATAAAATATATAGTGAGACTTTCTTTGGTTCTTTTTGATTTTTTAGTTTATATTTTGGTGATTTCTCCCCTTTTTAGTAATAAAATTTAAGCAATGTCAGGTACAGTGGCTTGTACTATAATCTCAGAACTTGGAAAGTTGAGGCTGGAGGAAGGCAGCCTGGAGTTTAACTTGGTCTGTATAGTGAATTAAGGCCAGCCTGGGCTACATTGAAGGACTCCTCTTCTGTGCCCCCTCAATTCCCCAGTTCCAAAGGGAAGAATTTGCTAATGATTTTTTAAAATAATATTTTGTGCAAGATTTTAATTTTATATTAGGTTTTTAGAAGTACTATTATCACCAAGATGTTACAGACCAGTTACTTATAGGAAAGAAATGAAAACAAGTCTATTCATGTGGTTAAGGTACATCAGTTTCCCTCAGATACTTATCAAGATGTGATTGGCAATAAATATTTTTGTCATTTTTATGTTACTCATTCATTGTCTTCTTGTTTTCTCATTTGCAATACTGATTTTACACAAATTAGTTTTTGCCACTTTACATATTTTACAATAGCAATTAGGGTATATATTACGGAAAAAGGAAGTTTAATTGAGGCCTGGTATAGTTCTTTATCCTAGAATTTAATGTTGGTTCATGGTATATACTATGGCTAAATCTTTACAAGGGGGAAGGAAAAGGCTAGTGAGAGGTAATGAATTGCGTATGTGTAATGGGTTTGAAAAGAGAATTCTGGTTGGTCAGAAAGGTAGCAAGCACATAGAATGGAGGTGCCACACAGACTTATGACTGAATTGAACTCAATATTCCTTTTCAAGGAACCTGATATCCACTGACTTTTGTGAATGTTGCGGAAAAACAAACCTAGACATGCATGACTTACTATTGGTATTCAAGATTTGGTTTTCTTGTGGTAGAACTGTCAAAAGCCAGGTGTTCATTGGTATAGGAGCTGTCTCTTAGAAACTGAATTGGTTTTGTTGTTGTTTTTCTATTAGGATTCTCCTAGGACTGTAAAGTCTCTGTCCTATTGCTTCCTAGTCTTAAGAGAGGCAATGTGCCCCCCTGTGTTGTAAATTTTTTCTTGAGTGGGACACTTCACTCTAGAAATTATGAATTTGTGATTCAGTCAACAGCGCTAAATTTTTTGTAATTTTCTAGGTTATTGATAGAAGATTCCATCTGAAGTACTAGTTTTAAGTCTATAAAACTTGTTAGTTTGTTAAAAGCAGGGCCACTTCATTTTATATCTTAGATATGAAGTGCTTACTTTTATCCTTACCCTAGGGCTACAACACTTTCCAATGCAGTCTCTTCTTTGGCAAGCACTGGCCTATCTCTGACCAAAGTGGATGAAAGGGAAAAGCAGGCAGCATTAGAGGAAGAACAGGCTCGTTTAAAAGCATTAAAGGTAAGCAAGTGTGGGCTTTCTCTTTGGAAGAACAAGGAGAGGGGATCATTATGTAAATGAACCTCTAGCCAGACTTAAGTTTTTAGTTGTGTAGCCATCCTACAGTATGAAACTGTTTCATTTTTCATCACATAGAATGCTTGGTGAAAAGTTAGGGAGTGCCTTTCAGCTCTTAAAGCAGAATTAGAAAATGTCTTTTTTCAGAGTCTGTATCAAAAGGATCTAGTTTTAGATTCCTTGTGCTAAGTTCCTTTTTCAACAGGAACAGCGTCTAAAAGAACTTGCAAAGAAACCACATACCTCTTTAACAACTGCAGCCTCTCCTGTGTCCACTTCAGCAGGGGGAATAATGACTGCACCAGCCATCGACATATTTTCTACCCCTAGTTCTTCTAACAGGTACAGCGGGAAGTGAGGGTATCTGAGTATTTAGTCTAAGAGCCTCTTCAAATACATGCTTTAGAGATGCTGTGAGTTTGCTTTATAATTTTTGTAATCACAAATTAATACAAAAGGTGTAAAACAATACAATTGGTATACTACCTACAGTGATAAGGTTAGTCTAAGTTTGGGAAATGGAATATGACTAAATTACTAATTTTCAATTGGAATATTCTACATGGGAATGGGTGTTTTCTTGGGAAAGTCATTTCCAGAAAAGGTGTTGTTTCTCAAATTTGATAGAAACTTAGGACATTGTGTTCAAGTATTTTTCTGAACCTCTTTATAGTTATGTTAAATAGGGAGCATGCAACAGTTACCTTTTTAGAACTGTTCTTTTGGGTCTTACATTAAAGCTTTTCACTGAAATTTTTGGGGGGGTGGAGTACACGAGACCAACTAATATAGCAGAGTTCATCTAGAAATAAAACTGCTTTCCACAATATTTTCCTAGCACATCTAAGCTGCCAAATGACCTGCTTGATTTGCAGCAGCCAACCTTTCATTCATCTGTCCATGCTATGTCAACTGCTCCTCAGGTAGCAAGTACATGGGGAGGTAAGCTTTCCTTGTTTTAAATGTTGTATAGGTATCTTCCCTCTCCAGTAAGTAGCAGAGTTTTGGTTGTACTTGATGCATGGGAACTTGGGAAATATTAAAATGACAGTAAACTAATTTTTATCTCCTGAAGACAGTTTATTATATATGAAGTATCAAAATTCATAGTTAATTATGAAACAAGGTTTAGGGAAGATGAAGTTGTTAAATATAAGAGGAATGACCACATTTTACAGTATGAGATCATCTCTTCAATATGAATTTCAAATATATAGTAATTATTACTTTTGGTGTAGAAAAAAATTTTCTGGTGGGTAAAATCCTTACTTTTGTGTATGTACATTGCAAAGTTCTAGTAAAAGTCAGATTGTATTACCAACCAGCAAAGTACGTTGTGAACAGGTATCTCATGGTGATTCTTGTCCTTTGGTGCCCTGGAGTAGGTTTTTAATTCTAAGGTGATCATGGTCTAGTACCTTTAAAGCAAAGTGTATATATGTTTGCTTGTATGAAATGTATGTATGTATGTATGTATGTATGTATGTATGTATACGTTGTGTTTTAAAGTTTTAGTTAGGCACCTACTTTTCAGATCATCTCCTTTGGATGGTTTTGGTGCATATGTATGTATGTATGTATGTATGTATGTATGTATGTATATATATTTATATTATAAATAGTCATCCACAATTGCTGGAAAGAAAAGGAAATTTTCAGGAAGAAAGACGCTAAGTAGAAAATTATGAAATGTTAAAATTTGTATTTGCTTTCATGTAACATTTGAATTATTAAACTTTTACACCATGTAAGATTTGAATGAAAAGTATAGTTTCTGTGCTTCTTTTCTTCCATTCACTCTAATGCCCACTGATCCCTCCCTCCCTCCCTCCCTCCCTCCCTCCCTCCCTCCCTCCCTCCCTCCCTCCTTCCCTCCAGTGTAGTACTGAATATTGCATATTGAATCCAGGGCTTGCCCACACTAGGCATATGATCTGGCATTGAGCTGTATCACCAGCCCTAACACACTGTTTTATATCCTGGAATGTAAGCTCTGTGAAGGCAAGGGCTGTCTATCATTAATTAGCACTTTGTGGTGGTGGTGGTTGTTTGGGGGAAAGGGGCATGTGTGCCACAATGAACATGGGAGATAAGAGAACAACTTGGTGGGGTCAGTTCTTTCCATCTACCTTAATGTGGAGTCTAAGGATCCAACTCAGCTCTCTAATCTGACCTTTGTTTTTCTCACACTGTAGTCCAGGCTGGTCTCAAACTCATGGCAATCCTTCTGCCTCAGCCTTTCAGTGGAACTACCACATCCAGCCCTAGAGTACTTCTTGTCATATGTAGATATAAATAAATTAATGTAGTAAGTACTTTGTCAAGTAAGTGGGCATTTTCTTTTCAGTCCAGGTTGTAGAGAATAAGTACTAGATTTTAGACTAGTTCTATGTAAGCATTAAGGTTAGTTTAATTTAGCAAAATCTTGAGATTTGAGATTAATTTCTATTTGGCAGCAAATTAAAGGTTAAGAAAGGAGTTTCTTGGTGCTGGAGAAATGGCTCAGTGGTTAAGTGTTGCATGCTGCTCTTGTAAAGGACCTAGTTCAATTTCCAGCACTATATTGGGCAGGCCACAACTCGTGGCTTATTTACATGCACATACCCAGTCATAGACATAAGCACATTAAAATCTTATTTGTTTATTTATCAAGACAGGATTTCTCTGTGTACCTAGCCATCCTGGAACTTACTTTGTAGACCAGGCTGAGTGCTGGGATTAAAGGCATGTGCCACCACCACCTGGCCACATTAAAATCTTAAACCTAAAATAAAAATAGAGTAGAGAGGTGTTATGATCATGGGTTTAGAGTTTTAAATTTGATACATTTTTATGTTTATTTTCTATTTAATCTCAGTTGTGATTTTTTTTTTTTAGGGTTGGGTGTGTATGGAAGGGTGGTCTCTATTTTGTCCTGGCTGCCCTGAAATAAAGTAGACCAGGCTGGCCTCAAGCTCACAGATAGCTCCTGTCTCTTCAGCTAATCCTGTGCTGGGTTTAAAGGCTTCTATCACCGCTAGAGTTTGGGCTGGAGAGATGGGTCAGTAGCTAAAAACACTTGCTCCACCCAGATGTCATCTCACAAATGCTTGTAACTCCAGTTCCAGGAAATCTGGTGTCCTTTTCTAGCCTCTACTGGCACTAGGCATACACATACATACATGTACATTCATACTTACATGCAGCGAGATACAAGCAGTTACATGTATGTGTAACACTCATACATGGAAAATAAAGAATAAGGATAGTTTTTAAAATGTTAACATTAGCATAATTTTAATTCTTTGTTTTTAATTTTTTGATAATTCATTAGCCTTTTGTTGTTTTTTTTTAATAGTTGCTGGTTTATTATTAGTCCTATTTCCATGAATGGCCAAGACCTGGGGAAAAAATAACAGGCCCACTGGTGCAGGAAGGGTACATTTCCACAACATTCTATTTACACATAGAACTAAACAGATAAGCATAGAAGTTAATCTTCTGTTAACTTTATTTTAAAATATATTTGTTTATTAAGGTGTGTATGTGTGTGTATGTATGCACCTGTGTGTGCAGGGGCCAGATGATAACTTTTGAGAGTCAGTTCTCTTTTCAACATCATGTAGATCCCAGGGATTAGACTCAGGTTGTCAGGCTTGATGGCAAGTACCTTAATATGCTGAGCCCCATCTCTCTAGCCCTTCTTTATTTTAAAGAAAGAAGCTGAGAAGTTGTTTTTCTAAACAGACTCAAATTTTAATAGGTTAGTATAGTCAACATTTCAAAGGAATGGAACTATAAAATTCCTTTTGAGTATATCATGTATAGTAACTTGAACAATGACAAGGAATCTGAAATGTTGAACTCATACAGCAGATAGAATGTTAATTAGGGAAAATGGTTTGCAGTGAGCTCAGTCTGTAATAATTGTTTCCTAATACTCTATATAAATGCAGTATATTTAACCATGATTTTGTTTCTTTTTTACATTTTGCTTTGTTTGCTAGTTCTCAATAATTTGCCCCAAGTTTTAGCATTTAGCTTGTTGCATATGAGTAACAAAGACTTTAAAACACAAATAAAATGATGGGCATGGTGGCACATGCCTTTAATCCTAGCCCTAGGGAGGCAGAAGCAGGTGAATCTCCATGAGTTCTGGGCCTACCTATAGAGATCCCATCTCAAAACAAGCAAGCAAAAAGCAAAAACAAAAAACAAAAACAAAAATAAAAAAAAAACAAGCATAGTAGAATGGAAGGAGTAGAAATTGCATTGTTACTTTTCCAAAACCTTAGTTATAGCTGAGGAAAGGAATGATTACTATAAGGCCAGTCACATCCTATAAAATCAAGGCTGGATAAGGCAACCCAGTAAGAGAAAAAGGGTCCAAAGTAGGCAAAAGAGTCAGCAACACCCCCCTCCACCCACTCCCACTGTTAGGAATCTCACAAGAATGCCAGGCTGCTCTGCTCTAACGTATTACAGAGGAGCTACGTCAGACCTCTAAAAGCTCCCTGATCTCTGCAAACCTCCATGAGTACCAGTCAATTGATTCTGTAGGCTATGCTGTTGTGTCACTGAACCCTCTTCTGTGGGACTATGTCTGCTCCCATCAGTTGCAGGATGAAGTCTCTATGATCTCTTTAATGAGGTTTCTGTTAGACTTTAGTCCCAGAACATCCTACAAGTAGGTCAAAGGTTTTATGGATGGTTGGATGTTTCAAAACTTTTAAGAGTGCTAGGGAGATCACTCAGTGGTTCAAGTACATGTTGCTGAGCAAGCCAGAGGACCCAGTTTGGGTCCTTAGAAATTATGTAAATGCCAGGTAAGTATGGTAGCCTGTAGGTCATTTCAGATTTAAGACACTAACTGGAAACAAGATCTTATGAGCAAGCTAGATAGATAGACAAGCCTGAATTGGCAAGCTCTGGCTTCCTTTGAGTACCTCAGTGAATAAGGTAGAAGATAGATTGAGGTGTCTGCTTCAGGCCTCTGTACCTATACCCACACAGATGCAAAATACATGCCCTCACAAGCACACTAAACACATGAGAAGGAAAAAAATGTTTGGAGATTTGCCAGTTTAGGAGCTAGTTTAATTTAGGATAGCCAGAACCATCATCATAATACTTAATAATTTGTGCTTATTATTTTTGTCTACTAGTTAACACTGTCTAGATTAACTATAGTATTTGTCAAATAGAATAATAGAAACTGGATTTACTTATTATTTGATTGGTCTACTATGAATGTGTTTGTACATTTTTATGTATTCTTTGTTATTTGCTCAGCATAATAAAATGCTCTTTTAAAACAAGTATTTTCAAAGTTCACTAGTCAACTCTAAGCTCAAACGTCCTTATTGTACAAGGAGCCACAGTGGAGAGATAGCATTATTGTAAGTGCCAGTTCTTATTTACCAAACCAGTATCTTGACATGGACAGTGGGAATGAACACCAGGGTGGGTTGGAGGGGTCTCAGCCAGACTGAGGCTGGGACAAGTTTATTCTAAGCAATCAAACTTTTTTTTGGTGTGGGGGGTTCAAGACAGGGTTTGTTTGTGGCTTTGGAAGCCTGGAACTAGCTCTTGTTGACCACATTGGTCTCGAACTCACAGAGATCTGCCTGCCTCTGCCTGCCGAGTGCTGGGATTAAAGGCATGCACCATCACCTCCCAGCATAATCAGATTTTTTATACACATATCAAAATAGAATACAGTGGTGGTTGCCATGATATAATGGTGGTTGTAAGCTAGACAGGATATACAAGATTAATGTCTTAAGATTAATGTTCTGCCAAACTGATACATGCTTCTCTGACTTCTAAGGAACAGAGAGAAACATAGGTAGCCTGAATCCTGAGGGAATGCCTAGTTTCTCAGGAACAGATAGGACAAGGTGTCTGAGGAGTCATGGCCTGTGACACATTCCTCTCAAGGCAGCTAGATCAGGTCATCTTCACGATTCCCTGAACATTACATTTGGCTTTAGTACCAAAACCAACTTTTTAAAGTCTGTTTATTTTTGAATTATGTTTTCTCATTTTGTGTGGGGTTCCCCCTACACATTGTTCCATTTTGTTGTTGTTGTTGTTGTATTTTTTTTTGCATTCATGAGAAAGATGTTAAAGCCTCTTGAGTTTGAGTTTGAGCATGTGACTATTAGCTTTCTAATGTGGAAGAGCAAGTCTATATCTGTAATGGTCTGCTATGGTGGTTAATGGAGACAATTTTCCCCTAGGGATTTCTACATGTTAGATGCAATTCTTTCATCTTAGTGATTAAATATATTTGTGTATAAAATTAATATAACTACTACTTTTCACTTTGCATCTTTCAACTAATCACAATACTAATTTATTTACTTTCTTCATTTTGCTCTAATTCACTTGGACTGCACAGATCCTTTCTCTGCTACTCTAGATGCTGTTGATGATGCCATTCCAAGCTTAAATCCTTTCCTCACAAAAAGTAGTGGTGATGTTCACCTTCCCATTTCTTCAGATGTATCCACTTTTACTACTAGGACACCTACTCATGAAATGTTTGTTGGTAAAGTACCATTTAACCTTTTCTTCCCAATTAATGTTTATACTAAGTATTTTTTTACTTATGTGCTAATTACTTTTATAGTGCTACAATAATTACTTTGGATTTTAACATCAAATTTTAAAGTAAGCTGGAATAATAATGTAGTAAGGTTCTTAAATTGATTGCTTAAAAACTCCTGTTTGTATGTAATGTAGAATTCCAGAAGCATATTACTTTGTTTCTGAATTTTCTGTGTTTTGAGTGTAGTATAACACTCCAGCTATCTAGTATATTGTGTAATATCCTGTTTATTAGTTCAGAGAATTGATTTAAAAGTAACATCTAAATTTACATGTTTATGTGTGCTTATATTTTTTTGACCTTTGTGCACTGGAAGGAAAACCATTGTCATTTTTATCATTAAAACTATTGCATATTATAGTTTCATGTTGCCTTAAGTCATATATTTCCTTAGTCCCTTTTGTCTCATTGCTTATCTGAAGATAAAGTGAAAAGTATGTATTCCATTTTAACTAAAAAATTAGAAAAGTGTCCTTGCAGTATGAAAAAAATAAAAAATGTTCAGTTCATGTTTTATATAGAAAATAATGTTTTAGTTTTGGTTTTTTGGGGTTTGGGGAGTGGATTTCGAGCAGGATTTGTCTGTAGTTTTGGAGCCTGTCCTGAAACTTGCCTTGTAGACCAGGCTGGCCTGGAACTCACAGAGATCCACCTGCCTCTGCCTCCCAAGTGCTGGGACTAAAGGTGTGCACCATCACCACCCGGCAAAAATAAGTTTTAAAGTATATACTAAACTTGGAAAAAAAAAAGCTAGAATCTATGTCTCAACCTGCTTCTTTAAATGTAAAGTTAGTTATTTGAAGATAGAATTGACTGAAAAGCCAATGACTTAATACTTCTTTTCCTAATGAGGCAGTTGGAAGGTTTTTGTGTTTATTAAATTGATATAATGTTTTCTATTAGTCTTTTTAATAGGGTAATCAGAGCCTTGTGTTCTTTCAAAAATTTTATTTTAGTAAGTTTAAAATTGAATAACCATATGTCTTGGATTTCTCTGACTTTTTGTTGTAATTCCTTTAGTTTCTCTATCTCCATTCCTTCCTTTTCTCTTTCATCTTGATTCCTTTGTTCTTGTGCCTTGTCAGGATTTTCTTGGCACACAGATTTACCCTAATACTATTTTTACACGTTATGAGCCTTCTGTTGTTGTTTGCTTACTTCATTGATTTCTTTGTACAGATGTTTCTTTTTTCTCTGTAAAGTAAGTTCTTACCCCCCCAAACCCCCCCCCCCCCCACACACACAAACATGGTTTTACTGTATAGCCCTGGCTGTCCTGGAAAACTCAATATATCGACCAGGCTGTCTTCTGAATCAAAGAAATCCGCCTGCCTCTACCTCCCAAGTACTAGGATTAAAGCGTATCCTACCATCACCTAGCTGAAAATTTTCATAAACTTGTTAAAATAGATAGAACTACTTCCCTTTCCATCCCCCAATAACTGACCAATAACCTAGCCCTTACTTGCTTTTGAAGATATACTCCTCCCCGTCTTTTTTTTCTTAAACACAATATGATATTATAAATAGATACCTATTTTGCTCTTTAATCTATACTCATGACTTGAACATCTTCATGGGAGTATATTGCCTTTACAATTACTAGCTTGTGGAACTTGAGGCCCTTTGTGTATTCATTGAATTCATTGATTCTTTCCAGCTGTGTGTGGTTTTTTGTTGTTGTTGTTTAATTCATGTGTATGTTATGTATGTGTATGTATGTATGTGTGTGCCGTGTATGTATGAGTCCCCTTTGGAAGCCAAAGACAGCATTGGATATCCTGGAGCTGGAGTTAAAGGTGGTAGTGAGCCACTTTATATGGGTGCTGGGAACTCTGGTCCTCTGGAAGAACTGCAAATACTCAATTTCTCCAGCCCTGCAAATGTGTTCTTAGCTAGTGCACTACAATAAAAAAAGTCCAGCTACTGATCAAGACCCCCTGAATCTGGGTGTCAGTGAAGAGGCCTAGGGAATCTATTGAGCCTTGGGCAGCAGATCAGTACCCATCCCAAGTATACACACGGACTTTGGACTCCCATAGAACAATGTGAGGTGCACTCTCACCCTGAACTCTTGGGGAAGGGTCTAGGCCCTGCCCTATATGAAATGACAGACTATGGACACCCCCATGGAGGGCCTCACCCTCCCTGGGGGAATGAGGGGATAACGGGGGGGGGGGGATGGCATGGGAGGAGGGGAGGGAAAAGGAGAGGGACCTGGAACTGACTTGTGAAGCAACCTTGTTTCTTATCTAAATTTAAAAAAAAAGAATAAAAAAATCATTATTGATTAAAAAAAAAAAGAAAACACATAACTGCACTTAGAGAAAAAAAAAAGTCCAGCTAATTGTGTGTGTTTATGCATAGTGCTTGATTTCTTTCATTTAATTTGTCATTAAAAGTATGCATACAACCCAGGACTGGTTGGCTCATGCCTTTAATCCCTTTAAAGCTTTAATGAGTGTATGTGGGTGTGGACATATATCTGTGTGTGAGTATCACAGTTTGAATGTAGAGGTCCGAAGACAACTTGTTGCGGTTGGTTTTCTCCTTCCACCATGGGAGTCCTGGGTATTGAACTAAGGTCATTAGTCTTGTGGCCTTTGCCTACTGTGCCGTGTTGCTGTCCTGTTTTTAAAGATGCTTGGGCCAGGAGGCAGTAACACTCAACTTCAATCCCAACATTTGGGAGGCAGAAGCAGGCCTAATTTTATGAGTTTGAGGACAGCCAGGGCTACACAGAATAAACCTGTCTTCAAAACAGAAAGAAAAAAAGGGGGGGGGTGACACCAACTGTAGAGATGACTCATTAGTTAAGAGCACTGACTGCTCTTTCAGAGGGCCCAGGTTCAATTCCATCACCCAAATGGCAACTCATACCTGTCTGACTCCAAGATCTGACACTCTCACACAGACAAAACAGCAATGCACATAAAATAAAAGTAAAGTAATTTAAAAAAGAAAGATATGTTTGAGGTATTTTTCTGCCCCCAATGTTTGCTGTTTTGTGCTTCAAGTTCATTTATTATGTCCTTTTGAGATTAGCCAGAGATACCTGTCTCTGAGTTGGTGCTGACCAGTGCTGGCTTTCACTGGGTCTGTAAAAGCCAAGAGTGGTCATGACAAGATGAGTATTTCAGACAGCTTGTTCATTTGCTCCGCTCCCCCCCCCCTTTTCCTCCAAAATGTACCTTTGGAAATAGTGCTGTTAGTTGGGTTTGTTGTTGTTTGCTTATTGTTTGTTGAGGTAGAGTTTCACTATGTGACCCAGATTGGCCTTGACTGCCTCCTGCTTTTACTGTCTTAAGGTTTTGTTGTTCCTTTTGTTATGTATCTATGTGTGTGGGGTTGTGTGTATGCCGAGACATGGTGTGGTAGTTAAAAGACAGCTCTGTGTAGTTGGTTCTCCTTCATTCTAGAGAGTTCTGGTGATTGATGTCAGGTTGTGAGACTTGCATGGCTCAACATTGAGGTTTTATATTTCTGTTTTAAGGAGCTCTAAAAATTTTAAACTTGTAATCCTGATAAATGAGAAAGTAACAGAAGATCATTAAGCTGATGATATTTGTTGAAATAGTAAGGAAAAACTTTACCTTGAAGGCTGTGTGTGTGTGTGTGTGTGTGTGTGTGTACGTACATGTGTGTATGTGTGTGTACATAATACAGACTGAAATACATTGTTTGCTTCCCTAGGAGATATTACAGATTACTTGAAATTGCATTTTTTTGGTCTATATAGGGATTTTTTTTAATTGAGGTACAAGTAAAATTTTTGAATTACATTTTTCTTTTTAATCTTTCTTGTAGCTAATAATTTTGCAACTTCACAGTTAGCCTAGGGACTTCAGGAGATGGCTCTCCTATAATAGGAAATAATAAAGTTGTTCCCAGATTGCTGTAAAAGAATAGAAAGCAGGGAAAATACAGCAAGAGAAAATGGGAATTAGATGTTAATGGCCCAGCTGTCCGTTGTTGTTAGATATATGTCCAAAAGGTTAGTGGTCCTTTAGCCAAGGTTATTCTTAGAGTCCATGAAGTAGTATTATACATCTTACAGTGTGGTAGTAGCATGAAATATGGAAGCAAGCATGATAATGTTTTGCTTTTAAGAAGCTATGATAAGAACCATGGAATGTTAAAGCTTTGTATATGTTTAAGTGTCACTAAACCAAAGGGTTTAGAATTCTAAGATCCTTTTAAAAAACTGGTTAGGAAATAAATATAAATACTAAATGATTTTGTACTTTGATAGTATTTGTTTCTTGTTTTTGAAGTAAACTTAATTTAAGAATTAGAATAAGATCAAACTTTAAACATTCTCAAAAACTGTGTCCTCAATATTCATATTATAACCCCAAATGCAGTATCACTAATATGTGTACCACTTTCTAAGTGACAGTGACAAAAATCACTACCAGGGCTGTAGAGGGAGCTGAGGGGTTAACAACCCTGGCTGCTTTTCCACAGGGTTCAATTCCAAGGACCACATGGCAGCTCACAGTTGTCTGTACTTCCAGTTCCAGGGAGATCTGAAGCCCTGGCATGTCAACTAACACTCTCTCTCCCTCTCCCTCTCCCTCTCCCTCTCCCTCTCCCTCTCCCTCTCCCTCTCTCCCTCTCCCTCTCCTCTCTCTCTCTCTCTCTCTCTCTCTCTCTCTCTCTCTCTCTCTCTCTCTCTCTCTCTCTCTCTCTCTCTCTCTCTCTGGCATGTCAACTAACACTCTCTCTCTCTCTCTCTCTCTCACACACACACACACACAGTAAAGATAATTTAAAAAGCAAAAATCTTTAAAATTTTTAAGTCAGGGATAAATTTAAGGAATAAATATCTTTGTATTTATTTGGGACTTCAAATTAGGTTTTAGTGATGGGATCTCCTCTTAGGAGAAGAAGAACCTGTGTAGAACTTTAGAAATTCCCTTGTTGGTGTTAGATGCTAGCCTTCTAAACTTGGATGCTTTTATGTGTTTCCAGTCTGACTTGATAGAACTTAGGAAGCAAGAGAACTCAGAAGCAAATGACTACGACTCCTGTAAAGAATATATTTACCTAAATATATTTAGTGATTCAAAGCTCAAGTCATGTGATAAATCCAACATTTTTAGATGGTTTTAATTCTTTTTAGTTTCTAGAATTTTACACATTCAACTTTAGGAAAACAACTTGAGAATTAAAATGTTCTGTATGTTAACCCAGTGTTGGCACGCCCCAGAGACTCAAGCTTGGAACTTTGTTAGCACAACACTACTATCTCCATGATAACATAAAAGAAAGTAAGGTTGTCTTGTTTATAGGTTTTTCTGTCAGTCTAGTTTTAGGCTAATTAGCATGTTTGGTCCCATTCTTGCCATTCCTAGAGTTAAAAGTGGTAAGTTCATCGAGGGAGTGAGTGGGAGTTGAAAGAATATCATTTTCTTTAATGTTCTGAAAACAGTTGGGCGCAAACATTTGTGAAGTTGTTACTTTTAGAATCCTGCCAGTTCTCATAGTTATCTTAAACCATGCAACTCCTGGGTCAGTGATATGGCTTAGTGGGTGCTTTCTGCCAAGCACAGTGATCTAACTTTGCATCTCCCACTCACATGGTGGAGGAAAGAAGTAACTCAGAACTTGTCCTCTGACTTCCACACATACATTGTGGCACATGCATGCTCACATACATACATACATACATACATACATACATACATACATACATACAATGATTTTTTATTGTAACTGTTGAGGTAAAGTAGGGATAAAGAAGGTCATGGTTAGAGAGAGAGCAGAACTTGGTGTTTTAGATGACTTTAGGTTTTAAGAAATTACAAATCAGATACAAAATTAAGACAAAAGACAAGCAAGGGTTTCATTTCTGGAATGAAGTAAACACATAATTCATTGTATTTTGGTCATTCTTAGTTTCTTAATGGGTGATTTTAATGGAAATGTAGCTGGTTATGATGGTTCACGCCTATAATCTCAGCACTTGGGAGCTGAGGCAGAAGGATCACTTGGAGTACATTGTGATACTATGTCTCAAAAGTGTGATGTAATGGAGAAAACATTTTGCTTGAAATAGCTTTTTTGTTTAAGGAATTTATTGCTTTCCCCATTCTATTATTATTAATGTATAGTTACTGTATTTAACTGTTAATATAGTTAGTAGAAAATTGAACATTTTTGCATTTTGCTTTTCTTAGGATTCAGTCCTTCTCCAGTTGCACAGCCACATCCTTCAGCTGGCCTTAATGTTGACTTTGAATCTGTGTTTGGAAATAAATCTACGAATGTTACTGTAGATTCTGGCGGTAAGAAAAAAGGTTTTTTGTTTTGTTTTGTTTGTATTGATTCAAAATATGATAGCATTTATAAGTCAGAGTAAATTGAGCTTGTTTCCCAACCACTTGATGGGGAATAGTAATTTTACCTTTTTTTCTTGGTAGCATTTTAGAACTTGGGAAAGCTTGTTGTTGTTGTTGCCCTCACGCCCCACCCCTAACCCCAGCACAGTAAAGTGCTCAACTGTTAGTGACTATGTGTGAAGTGCTGTAGCTTTTCGGTTCTCATAATTTTTATTTGACTGAAATGAACTATGACCATATTGTTCATTGCAGTGTGTAAGGTTATTTTTGAAACTGAAGACATAGTGTATCTTCATCCTGACTTATTTCGATTGTTCAGATATAAGTAGAGTATGTTAAAAAGTTTGTGACTATGGGACTTTTAAAAATCATTTTAGTAGTGATTATTATTAAAGTGTACCTACTAATTTATCTTATAAAACTCTAGAATAAGATTTGTACTTTTTGCTTCTTATTATCTTGAAGTTTATAAAACTCCTATAAAACTTAAATGTTCTAATTTTATTACTGCAGGGAGACAGTCATTGACTGACTAACAGTTAAATTTTAACTTTAAAACATATTGAAGTGTTTTTAATATATATTAGTTATCCATAAAGATAAGAAGCATTGTATGGACTGATAATTTAACTAGTGTATTCTAATAGGCATATAATTCTGTATTTGGGGGTTCTTTTGACTTTTGTTTTTTTTTTGTTTGTTTGTTTTGTTTTGGTTTTTTTTTTTTTTTTTTTTTTTTGGTTTTTACGAGACAGGGTTTCTCTGTATTGTTTTGGAGGCTGTTGGCCCAGCCCGGCCTCGAACTCACAGAGATCCGCCTGCCTCTGCCTCCCAAGTGCTGGGATTAAAGGCGTGCGTCACCACCGCCTGTCTTTGACTTTTCTTTTTTGAATTTAGCGTGTCTAAGAAAGGGGAATTGGAAACTAGTTATTCTCATAGGGTAAATCACCATCCTTGGTGACGTGACTTCCTGTTTTTAAGCTCTAGCATTCCTGGATCAGTGCTGTTCAGTTCCTGAGTGGGTTGATTGGATTTGTTTTTACCTTTTACCCTTTAGTGGAGAACCTTTATAGAGTTTTGTTTTGTTTTTAGGTGAATTTATGTAATTAAGTAGTTTTCTTAGGTACTGTTTAGAGTCTTTTTAATTTGTTGTTTAAAATTAAGAATTTTTTATTTATGGGGGGGTTGCCTGCTTGTCTCTCTATGCATCATATGCATGCAGGCTTACTTGGAGGCCAGAAGAGGGCATTGGATTCCCTTGAATGGAGTTACAGGCCATTGTAAGGCTGGAAATTAAACCTGGATCCTCTGAAAAAGCAGCCAGTGTTCTTAAACACTGAGCCATCTCCCCAGCCCCTGACTTAGTTAGGTTCTTATATCCTAAATATGAGAAGCATGAAAAGTTCTCTAAAATATGCCTAATTGGGCCTATAAGATAGCCCAGTAGTAAAGGTACTTGCTTCTAAACCTTACAGCCTGAGCTCCATCCCCAGGGTGCACATGGTGGGAGGAGAGAACCAACTCCTACACACATGCATGCACACAAGTATGCACAATTAAAAAAAAAACTTTCTAAAAAAGAGTTGGTGCTTGGGAAGCAGAGAGACAAGTTTTTTTTTTTTGTGAGTCTGTTCCACAGAGCGAGTTCCAGTACAGTCAGAGCTGTTACACAGAGAAACCCTGTCTCAGAACACCAAAACAAAAGGGAGGGGGGGAATTGTACACTAGGCATGGTGGCATATGGTTTAAATCCCACCATTTGGAAGGTAGAGATTGATGGATCTCTGTGGAATTTAATGTTAGTCTGATCTACAAAGAAGTTCTGGCCCAGTCATAGCTGCACAGTAAGGACCTGTCTCAAATTTTTTTTTCAATTTTTTGTTTTTTGAAGTTAAAATGTTTTTGTTTTGTTGTTTTAATTATATGTGTGGAGGGGTCAGGTGTGTGGACATGAGTGCAGGTGCCTGTAGAAGCTAGAGACATTGGATCTCCTGGGCTCAAGTTATTGGTGCTTGTGAGTCACCTGATGTTGGTGCTAACAGCTTAGCCATTTCTCAGCTCCAACATAAAAGACATTTTAAAATATTCTTTCTCAACATAAAAGGGACTTTTAGATTGAGTGTTAAGAAAAATTTTGTTGGGATAGAGAGAGATTTACATTCTGTCTCTTTCCCCCTTATAATGTTTTTTATTTATTTTCTTAATCATTCCCTTTAACCTGGATATAATTTTGTCATTAGATTACACAAATTATTTCTGTCCAAGTTGGCTTGAAGATGGCAGATTTCTCCTCTTTCCACGTGAGGGCATTTCCCGTGTTGGGAAACTTGCAGTGAGTAAACAAGGAGAAAAGGGAGAACTCCTTTAGAAAGCTGCAGCTCGCTCATGAAGTTCCTTACGCGTCCCATTTCGTCTGTTTGTAACTTTAAGGCTTTGATGAACTAGGTGGACTTCTCAAACCAACAGTGGCCTCTCAGAACCAGAGTCTTCCTATTGCCAAACTTCCACCTAACAAATTAGTGTCTGATGACTTGGACTCATCATTAGCCAACCTTGTGGGCAGTAAGTAGTCCTTGATTCTTCAGTCATCCTTAAGCCTAAGTTGGTTAGTAAGATGATTCTAGTTTTTAAATACTTTTCTCTTTTCCTAGATCTGGGCATTGGAAATGGAACCACTAAGAAGTAAGTGTCCTGTTTGTATTATTTAAATATCATGTAGAAGCTGATGTGACTTTCACTTCAGAAGTATGTATAGAGATGTCAGTTTGGTACTATTATTGTTCAATGTGTTCATATAGTGAGAAACATTGTATGTTTATGTTTATTTAAAGTGATGTAAGTTGGAGTCAACCAGGTGAAAAGAAGTTAACTGGAGGATCTAACTGGCAGCCAAAGGTTGCACCAACAACTGCCTGGAATGCTGCAACAATGGTGAGTTGGTGAAGCTTCTGATATTAATACATGGATATCTTAACTAACTGTGTAACAAAAACTAACATGATGGACATAAATGGTGAGGTTATTTCTGAGTTTTCTTAAGTACTTCATTTTTTTTCTTAAAAGCTGGTTGGCCATCTTTTGTCAGTCACATTTTAATACCTAACATGTATTTGAGGATTATTCCAGGTTATACATCATTTTAATAAGTAATTATTATTATTATTTCCTCTTATGTTATATACAGACATACATGCACAGTTCCTATAAAGTACAGCAGCGTTACAGAGTTCTTGAGTAATTAGATGCATTCTTAGCATGTGGCCTAGAAGCTAGACAGGATACACTGTATTGTCACTCTCAAATTTATTGTTTTTTGTCTAAAATGTAAAGTCCTTATATCCTTTAGACCTTATCATGGGTAAGCACATTATTTTTTTTGGATTTTGTTAGTATTATGTAGTTTATGGAGTTGATTCTCATTATTTGTGACCATTTAATATTTGATTGAAGTCACTCTGATCATTGAATTAGTGAACACTGAAACACTTTCACACCCTAAAAAGCCTCATTCTAAGCCAGACATACTGTAACATGACCTATAGTCCCAACACTTGGAAGCAGAACATCTAATTTATTCTATCTTACTGGGGGAATGAATTGTTGTGTGATTTTTTTATGCCTCTGTACATGTACACGAATAACTTATAAAGTACTATGAATATTGAATTTGGGGATTATGAAGTTTACTAACAGCAAGCAGATGAATTGATTAGCAATGTTTGCTAGTTAAGTAGCACCTAGTACTAAAGAGGTTCTATAGATGTTTTTAATTACTGTAAGACATTGTAGGCCCAGAATAACTTGTGGCTGTTTTCCTTTCTTTGGCTTGTTTTATCTTAATCTACCAAGTGTCCTCTCTCTTAGCCAGGGAAATACATACCCTTTCTGCTGGAACACTTTGAGATGTGGTTTTCTATCAGTGGGATGATAGCAGGTTTTGATTACTTAGATGCTATATACTATAGCCTCGTTAATTGCTGTTAGAAAGTTACATTGTACTTAATAAAGCAGCTTTCTTGTCATTAAGTTCCTTACAGGACATTGCCCTGTTTAACTTGGGTTGCTTATCTGTTACAATTGTGGGCTGAGGTTAAATCTGTGTATTGATAAAAGTTTTGACTATTTAAGAGTTAATAGCTTAGACTTTATAATATGAAAATATTCAAATTTAATTCCTTTTATTTTGTTTGCTTGTTGTGTTTTGAGGAGGCAGGGGTGAGTGTGTGCAAAGTTTTGTTATATAGCTCAAATTGGCTCTGAATTTACTAAATGGTTCAAACCAGCTTTAAGTGCTCATCCTTCTCCCATGACTTTCCTAGTGCTGGGATTATGGGTGTCTAATAGTTTAAGGTTTACATATAAACACAAGCATATACACATGATTTATAGTAAGCATATCCTAAGAGTATAGTGTTTCTCAGAGTGCACATATCACTTTGAAGTACAGTGTTATCTGTGCTTCCTTTTTAAATCCCCAAATGAAAAACACTTGAAAAGCTGATTTAAATGGAAACCTGATACTGAATCCATTATAACATGCCTCAGTGACTAGAACTGGTGGGAGTGTTAGGTTAGTGGGCTTCATGGCTACAGATGGGATTATGCATTAATATTAAAGCACAGTGGGTGTTTGCTTGTTTAATGTTAAGTCAGTGTTAATGTGAAATACTGAAAGCCTTGGATAGAATTTGCCTTAATACTGACTAACTGGAATGTAGTAAACACCTAACCATCTAGCATTTGTATGTAAGTTGAGAACAGTGTGTTGTATATGGTAGTGTGTATCATCTCTTAAGATATTTGTTTAAAATATTTGTGTGTATTTTAGTTTATTTTTTTGATGCCTAATGTGTGAGGCCTGTGATGTGATTCACTAAGAATAAACTGCTGCTTATGGTGTTTCTGTACATTTCTAACCTTTTAATTAATTCTTTAAACACTGTCAAGGTTTTAAATTTTTAACATTTAAGATAAATTCATTTATTTTATTAAAATATTTGTTTTACAACAAACTCTTCATTGGCGATCCCCACCTTGGTGGTAAACATATGATAGCACCCTAGTTGAGGATGCACTTGAATTTTCCTTACTGACATCACTGGTATATTTTATATTTTAATGACATTTGTAATTAGTAAACCATTGTGTCTAGAGGGAGTTAGCTAAAAGTCTGTTTCCTTTGTCAACCTTGATAGTGTTTGGTAATAGATGTTCTTTCATTAGATATATAAATACCCGGAATTTTAGGTAGTAAATGTACATGTAAACTAAAATGCTCTCTGTGTATTTTGTTGTGTAAGTACTTGCTCTAATCCAGTGTTATTGCATTATGTAATTGTTCTCCCTGGGAAAAACAGAATGGCATGCATTTTCCACAATACGTAAGTGACCAAAAACTAGCCCTTCTTTTTCTTCTTCTTTTTTTTTTTTTTGGCAATAAATTGGCATGCTATTAACCACCGCTGCAGCAGAATCTCATAACCTTCCAGCTAGTCCTTGTTTTCACATCAGATTTTCAGTGTGCCAGAAATTCTTCCTAGCATCTACTGATTTTCATGGGTGTGTTGCAGAATTGATTCTGATGGTGGCATGGGAAATACCAATTTTTCTTTCTTGCTTAATATTCCGCCATTTGCTGCCAGATGGCTGGGTGTCTGTGTGTGTATCTGTGCTGCCACCATGCACTTGATGACTTTTGAATGAAGGGAAATGTTGATTGTGGTAATGTTTGAAATAACAATTGCATGTAATCTTACAGGCTTCTGCTGTACTTGGCAGTTTGTCTTACTGCTCTTACAGATCTTGGTTTTGAAGTAGGGAGAGACCAATACGCCCTACATGCTCACCTAAATACTAAACTTCACTTATTAGTGTTATTTTTTTAAAGTTATGCTTCATTTAACTTCATGCGTATGTTCAAATTGCTGTATAATTTCATGTTTTCAAACATATTTTAACCGTGTTATTGGTCTTTCGCCTGTATTCAGTTTTAGTCTTTTCTGCGAGAGATACTCAGGGAATATTGTTAAGACAGCAGCCATATCTAAAACAATTTGTTTCTAGATTGTATGTTTACAAGTCATCAGTTAAAGAAGTAGAACAAGAAGACCTCATTAAAATATAAGCTTAGAACTTGATTGTTCTTTTTAAGAAATTGATACTTTTAGAACAAATTAGGAAGCTAACATACAACTACTTACTTGAAAGTTGTGATCATAAGAATAGTTACTCGGAGGCACTTTGAGATCTTATAGTGCTGTGACAGCCATGCACAAGGTCCTTAGAAATTAATTTTTGAACATCAAGGTTACTAATTGATATGGAATCTTTGTTTTTCCTTCCAGTACTAAAGAAATATACTGAGAAACAGTCCATATTATCTTTTTCTTGATAAACATTTTGTTGTTATTGTTTATTTGGTTTTTGAGATAGGGTATGTAGCCCTGGCTGTCCTGGAATGCAAACATTTTTATGAGAATGATAGGCTTTCAATTTTGGAATTGTGGATGTTTTTAAATACCTGGAGACCTTGTCATTTGTTTGCTTATCTTGGTGGAGCTGGGGAAAGAATCCAGGCTCTCAAGCAGAGCAGGCAAGTGCTTTGCAGAAAGGTTTTGTAAACTGAAGGATGTTGTAACTTAGGCTACTGGTGAGTCTAAGTTTAAATGTTGTTTTTTTTTTCTAACAAGCCACTTTTTTTTTATAATTTTGAGATTTTATTTCTCAATGAGTATTACTTAATCATAGCTGTCTTAGCAATTTGTTTTGAATAAAAATCTGACAATCCTTTAAACTTGTGACATACAGGAATTAACATTTCCTTGCCTACTTTTTCTTTTGCCATATCAGGCACCCCCTGTAATGGCCTATCCTGCTACTACACCAACAGGCATGATAGGATATGGAATTGTAAGTATGTTTCTAAATATAGTTTTTGGGAAATAGAGTAATTTATTCCTAACATGGTTTATTATAACCTTAGATTTTTGTTTAAGTGCTTTGTAGAAACTATAAACCACGAATCTAACCATTGATTCCATAAGTAGTTTTTAGAATAGTCGTTGTAAATGGGTATGTTGATTAGTGTGCCCAGTATTAACCACTCATTTTTCTTTCCCCTTATAACTTAGCTATACATGTTGTTTTTCATTATAAACTCACTTAAATATTAGTGTTAACTCTAAGATATTTTGATATGATTACTCAGATGATATCACCTTAGTACTGTAGAATTATAGAAGGGTAAATGTAGTGTGGCGTAGGCGAGGATGATTTTCCTCTGATAATGATTGTTGGGGTTCAAAACCAGTCTTTGAACCATTCACTGTCCTCACAATCTATATTCTGTTATCCTTAGTGACATGAGACTAACCTCTGGCCTCTTCGTGTGTACTTGTACTTATATGTAACATGAACATGCATGCACACACATATATGTGCACACACACAAAATCAGCCATCATTTATGATCACTTGCATAGTGGCCTAAAACTTGATTTCATATACAAAGGCAATTGGCTTGCTTTGAAATATGTTAACATTTAGATATAGAACCTACAGTTTTCTCTGTATGTAGACCTAGAAAAATCTGGATACTAGAAGCTTTTTTCCTCCACCATCACCTCCTTCCCCCTTCTTCTTCCTCTTTTTTCTTTCTGGTCAGAATATTTCTTTATTACATTACAATAAAATTTAAGTTTGGCAAATTCATTGGATAGAAAAGAGTAGGCTTTATTTGGTACTTTGTATGAAAGTGGTACTAGGAAATTTGTAGATACCAGTCTTACTTGCATGCAGAATTATTTGTCCTTTTAATTAGAACAGAAGTACCATTCTCCTTTAATTCCTGCTAGCCTTTTTGTTTGCTTCCTCCACAGTAATGAATATGTGAGCCAACATTTCTTAACTTAATTATTCTATTTTTTAGCCTCCTCAGATGGGAAATGTGCCTGTAATGACACAACCAACCTTAATATACAGCCAGCCTGTCATGAGACCACCAAACCCATTTGGCCCTGTATCAGGAGCTCAGGTATTATTGATGTGCATAACTGTTGTCATGTACTGATTTGGAAGGGCTCTGTAACACTAACAGTTCCTCTCGTACAACTCAAGAAAGAAGTTAATCAAACTTTCCCTTTTGTCATGGATATTATTTATATTTTCCTGATGCAAGAACCTTTCAGAATATTGACTAATTGCAGAAAAGCAACAGGTAGATTACAGGTGGGAACTTCTTATAACTTCATGCTTGTGATTGCTCCAAAGCGGAGCAACCTCTTTCTTACATTTGGACCCTCAGACCATTGCCTCAGTGCATCAGCCTATAGCTGATGGCTTGGGGTTTGCTGTAAGTGTTGCTCTTGGGATATTTGCAGACTTTTTGTCACTGAGAATTATACTAAATAAACAAATCCAGATAAGTAGATAAGAACCATTGGAAAGGCTCTGCTGTCTTAGATTCTTTAAAGGAGAGACTTTGTAAATGCTTCTGACAGTTACTTTAAATGTCTTCTTGATTTTGGGAGAGCCACATTAGAGCAGTCTGGATTTTGTTTATTGTAATGCTATAAGTGCCTTATAAAGTGAAGGGTAGCTTATCCTATGTTGCTCTGCTTAATACATAAAATTGTTAATGTAGTCCTTAATTTCCTAAATTGTTTCCAGTGTCAAAAAGTTGGTAGATTATCATTTTGAAGCTTATTTGAAAACAGAATATTTGACAGTTAGCTTGTAATCCTTTTCTAATGCACATACTTTGTAAGCTTATTAGGACATACTATGTTATCATCTCTATTGAATAGACAGTGATGGATAGGAGACCGTGTCATCGTTCATCCTTTTTAGATATTCAAATCATTAATCCATGTCCTCATATATGCTGAACATAAACGCTAATACTGAGCTGTATCCTAGCCAAGTCCCACTCCCTTGCTTTGGGTGCATGTTCATCAGTTAGTACCTTTTAAAGATTTTCACTTACTATACGTCTTTGTTTTGTATCTAACATTTGCATTTTCCCAGATGTTTATGTAAAAAATGCTGAATAGGTTTTATTTTTTCTATCTTGTTTTTGTTCCTGAGTCTGTTAATTATATCCTTTTAAAACTTGCACTTTAAATACATTTTACTAATGTTTTATATAAAGTAGAATGTTCACTGATAACCAGTAGTTTGTAAAGTCATTGTTTGCCACATGAAGGTATTATGCCACTTATGCAGGAAGACATTAGTCAGGTTTCTTTTCAAAGTTGCTGGTGGTAGGCAATAACTCTTTTATTGAGTATTTAGATGATAATGGTTTTAGAGGTTGTTGAAGCTTTTTGATAGTGGCAAAGATTATTGTGCTTGCCATATTCTCACTTTCTTTAAGAAGAACCTTTGTTGGTTCAACCCTTGTTAAGCACAAAATTAAATGAGTGTTTAACTTTAAAAATAAGAATATTTTAAAAGTTTTGTTGGTTCCTTTGATCACTAGGCTGCTGCTTTTATGGGGGTATGCTGTTAGTTTTGTTTAAGAAGGATATAACTAAAAAAATAGCAAAATGGCTGTGGGTTTTTGCTGTGTTTGCAGTAAACAATTTAAGCAAATCTGACATCAGTTAAGTGTCTGAAAGGAAACAATGACACTTTGCTTTTAGGCTTTGTGTTTCACCATTCATTCATTTGTGTCTTGGTGTACTGATCTTGGATATTGGCAGTGATAGTTCTCAGCTGATTTGTTTTAGACTTTGTATATCACTCATTCATTCATCCATTCATTCATTCACTCACTTGTATATTAGTGTACTAATCTTGGATGTTGGTAGCGATAGTTCTCAGCTGATTTGGTCAACTTTATCTTTGTGTGTGAAGAAAGCCATTTGGATTTCCAACAGTGCTTTGTGTGTGTTTATCTTTGCCTACTTACTATTATGCAGTACGATGAGAGAACTTATTTTGAATCAGATGTGGTATCATAAATTAAAAGTTGGTTCTATAGCCTCCATTATATACCAGTTAGTCATATAAAAATATTAGGAGTTCCACCTCTGACCTCTGTTGTCAATGAGACAAATGCTGAGAAAGGCCTTACTTCCTACACTTTTTTAAAATCCTAATTTCTTGTCTTACAACCAGTGCTGGGTGGCCAAGTTTTACAGTATCATCATAATAAATTTCAGTATGTCTGTATGTATAGAAAGCATGGGAATATATTGATTTTCTAGTGTGTGCTAGAAAAGTCCCCTTAGAAGTTTCATATTCTCATTTAAAATTTATTATCTTATGTGTATGGGTGTTTTGCCTGCATGTCTATGTACCACATTCCTGTCTGGTGGTCACAGAGACATCAGATCCCCTGCAACTAGTGTTATGCACCGTTGTGCACTGCTACCAATAGGTGCTAGGACTCTAACCCAGGTCCTCTGCAAGAACAGCCAGTGATCTTAAGTATTGAAACATCTCTCCAGCTCCAATATTTTCATCTAAATTTCTTCCTATAAGTTAAAAATCTTGATAGGTTTGAGTTGAAATAAACAGGAATTTAAATTTAAGAACTAAAATGTAGTAGCCTTGGAACCTACAAGATGTGCTTTAGTGTCGGTTAGTATCCAAGGGCAGCTGTAATGTAGTATGGGAGCTTCACAGCTTAGGACAGAAGTAGTTTATTTACTTCCAGTTTCAGAGGCTGGAAGTCTGAAATGAGGCTGTCCTCATATGGCATCCTCTAGAGGAAAACCTATCCTTGCCACTTGTTGCTCATTGAGACAAACAAGGAATGGGGTTATCTTTAATAGAAAACTAATGGCATGCAACACTGTATGTTTATATTCCTGTGCAAATAGATTTGGATATGCTATTAGTGATCCGGCTGTGCTCTGAACAGCCTGAAACAGTTTACTGTTACTGAGACTAAGCTTCAAGGCTGGTATCTCTGTAATCCTAGAGTAGTACTATTATCTCTAAATATTCTTATGACATCAGCTTTAAGAGAATATGTTTTATTAGTGTTACTGTACAGAACACACAGGTTGAGTAATATACATACAGTGAATGGAAATTTGTTTCAGTGGTCTAGGTGCCAGCATGTACCTAGAGCTTTTTGGCACATCATAACATAGTGGAAGGGCAGAGACTGTGAACACACAGAGTCTAAGGTAAACCCATTCCTGTAATAATAAACCCATTGCCATATATATATATATATATATATATATATATATATATATATATATATATATATATATGGGTTGAGGGTACAGCTCAGTGGTACAACACTTGCCTAGCCTGAGTTTTATCTCTTACACTTTGAAAGGAAGGAAGGGATGGGGAGGCAAAAGGAATAGATGTAATTATTAGTATCAGAATGTAGGACTCTTCAATAGGTTTTGAAGGCTCCAACTTCATGAACTAGACAAACGGTGCTATAGGACAGTGGGTTTATTATAGGAATAGGTTTGCCTCAGGCTGTGTGTTCATAGTCTCTGCTCTTCATATTACACTTTTTTCTGTTTTGGTTTGGTTGGTTTTTGTTATGCTCCATTACTACCAAAGAGAAAACTGCAAGTTAGAACAAGAAAACAACAGTAGGCTCAGAAAGCCAGGCTTCAAGCAGCCTTCTGAGAGCCTTGTAAACCCAGCTACTATTCAAGTGTCTCACAAGGATCCTAAATTTCCAGGTCAGCCTGGGACACATAGTGGGACTTTGTCGCAGAATCCACAAATTAACTTCAAAAGGGGCTTGAAGAGCATTGACATGTTTATTTTAAGAGTTTAACTTGTCAACTTTTTGAAGTATATTTTGAAATATATTTTAAAGTATTATCTTTTGTTAATTTATGATTTCACTACTCTTCCTTTACTGAGCATTCTATAACCAATAAAGGAAAGAAAACCAGACAACTCCACTCTGCAGCAAAGCACTTTCTGAAAATGTTAGATTCCTTTTCCTTTCTTTCTTTTTTTTTTTTTCCCTTCAGTTTTTTTCAAGACAGCTCTGTGGCTTTGGGGCCTGTTCTGGAGCTAGCTCTTATAGAACAGGCTGGCTTTGAACTCACAGAGATTCGCCTGCCTCTGCCTCCCGAGTGCTAGGATTAAAGGTGTGTGCCACCACCGCCTGGCAATTTTAGCTTATATTTTTACTAAAATGTATTGTATGTATGTGTACATGGGGATGGGGGGGTGTTGTGCCAGGTATATAGATGTCAGAGGATAACCTTGTGGACAGCCTGTGGCATTGGCTCTCTCTCCACCTTTACATAGATTCCTGGGACAAACACAGTTTCCAGGCTTACCAGCAATGGTTTTTAGTCTGCTGAGCCATCTCACAACTCATATATTTTTCAAGATTGATTAGAGTGGTAGAGGAGTAAGATAAAGGGTTGTTATCATCAGTTACTTATAAATCTTAGTATTTTTATTCATATGCTGTTCTTTGCAGTATTTCATTTTCCTACAAATGAAAAAAATTAAGTATGTCTGTGTTGGAACAGTAAGGTGTCTTTTAGTTATGAAATAAATCTCTGATTTGAACTGATTTGTGGCTATTCTAACTCTTTTTAGCACTAGAACTTCAGGATAGAGAATGTTATTTGGAAAAGTGGGCCAAGGCATTTTCTGCCATAATTTTGTTTGTTTCACATTTCTGTAATGGTATTATTTTATGCCAGCTTGTAAATTTGATTTTGTGATGAATGCTGACAAGTTGGGTTTTTAAAAATTCTTTCCTCCAGTATATTAACTATGCTTTTTTGGTGTGTATTCCTTAGCACCTTTAAACTAGGTTCTTTAATTTACACAAAGAATGGTAAATAAAAGAGGGTCAGCACTTTATCTCAGGCAGCTTCTTCAGACTTAAAGTCCTACTGCATCTTAACCTCCTGGAGTGTCCTTGCCCTGCCATCCCTTTCTTCTTCCTGCTTTCCTTGAGCAGTCATGTGGTCAGCATGTTCTGTTCTTGTCTTTCCTTATTCCCCCTTCATCTGACTACTTTCCCACCAGTGAAGGCTTAATCTGCTTTCTTCTAGTGATGGGAAAAGACAGCAGTCGGTGCTTATGACCGGTTGGGTATCCCAGGCCCCGGAGTAGTGTAGCAGCCAGACCACTCTGGAATGTGATTTTTCATGGTTCAGGGGGAGAGTGTTAAGAAGCTTAGTGTAAAGATAGATACTGAATCATTGATGGCCTCAAATAATTTAATTTTACTGAATATACATATAAAGCTTATCAGTACATGTCTTACCACTTTAAAAGACTTACAAGTTTGGGATAATACAGTACTTCTTCCCCAAGGTAAATCGAACCCTTTTAGTATTGTTTGTAAAACTCTTTTAAGACTCCTGGTGGCATGCTCATGTATTGAGAATGGTAGAGTCTCTTGTTTTCTCCAGGGACATTTTCCTCTGGTACTATCAAGTCTTCACACTGCTACCTTCATGAAAACATGATTTAAAGAGACATTTTAGTTGCCATTTAGATGCAGTATACAATGAGCAGATGTGTTTTAACTTGAAATGAAAAGGAAAATCTGTAAGTGAAGTTAAGAGTGAAAATAAGTAGGTTGTTTGCCCCTTTTTATCTCAGTAATGAGTATTTGAAATCATTTCTTGTGGATACTCATCCATTCAGGGGGGCTCCAGGGAGAAAGTTGGAGCTTCTTTGCAGTTAGGTTTCACTTTACTCTGCCCTTGGAGTGGCTGGTATTGAGATTTCTAGTAAGGACAGACACGTGGCCCCATCCTCCCATCTACAGCAGCATATACAAGTCCATTATCCTTCCTGCCGTCTCTCCTTACTATCTTTGAACGTGTATTTCTAAAACAGTATATGGATCAGGAAAATCTTGACAGCCAAAATAACAAAAGATTATTTTCAAAATTGTAAGTTGGTTATATTGCCCTAAGTGGGAAATGCTTATATTGGTGAGGTAATATTTACTGAAACTCATTGGCCAATCATTCTTTATGGTGCTTTTCTTTAAAATAGAAACAAAGAAACAAACATAAAAGCAAAACATAAAAAGAGGTGAAATAATTTTTAGACCAGCAAAGAGATTTTTTGTGACTTAAAATTCCTTATATAATTTAAGTGTTGGAAATATGAATGGAAATTGTTTTACTTAATCAATTTTAACTTAATACTTATTTGAACACCCTTAAAACCAATTCTTCTCATAATGGTCCCATTGAAGAAACAGTAAGTTTCTTCACATAAAAGTAGTTTATGTTGGGTTTAAAGTACTCATATGTCAGCTTGGTGAAACTCTTGGATGCACTGCATATATGCATACACACAGAATGACATCTTAATTGTTCAGAAAAACTGTCTTTTCTTTGAGAGTAAAGATAACGATACTTGTGCAGTGGTCAACTTCATCCTCAAATTAAAAGATGGAGCAAATTCTGAAAAATCAAATGTGGACTAGAAACAAGCAGAAACCTTGCCTGTACCCTTCATTCAGAGCTTTCTTAGTTCCCACAATGAGGACACCTGCTTCACAGTGTCCAGATAGAAAAGCCAGGAGGTAAGCCCTGTTTAAGAGAGAAAAAAACCCAAGGGAATGACTTTGTGCCTTATGGGAAGAAGGCAGGAAGTGATAATTGTGTTTGGAAATGTGGGGTCTGAACTAAGGTCAGTTTGGACAACTGTGGACAGATGTCTGGATATAGGAAGCCAACTTCAGTATATATTTTTTAAGCACAGTTAATGCATCCTGTCTCCTGTACTACCTACTCCCTTTTCTCCCCCCACCTTCCCCCCCCACTGAAAAAGTCTTGACTGTAGGTCAGTTTATTCAACTTTTATTGATAAAAACTTTCATTTCATGTTTCAGAGGCACACATTTGTTTTCTGGAAAACACATGCCATTGGATATCTTTTGACTTGACATGGAATAGCATTTTAAATGATCCCATTTCTACAAAGGCTGCCTTTAATTTATTAAAGGTGACAAAGCAAAAACTACCTCTTCCTTCATTACACTTTCTGCTCTCATGTTCTGTCATTCTGAGATCTTTTTCTCCCCTGTCTCTGTCTTCTTTCCCCCAGCTGTCGGCAGCATCCAGCCCCTCCAGGCACAGTCCTCACAGAGCTGCAGGAAAGGACCCCTTTGCAGAGCTCTCTCTGGAGGACTTCTTATAAGTCACTTAGGTATTGCTGCGTGTGGGGGAGATGGGGGCGTGGATACTTAAGCAAAGATTGACAATCCTGAACACCGTGCACCCTTCTCCTTCTTTGTTTATTTAAAGGAGTCTGCATTTCCTCTGTGCCTCGCTGCCTTCTCCTCTTCTGTTCTTTACATGAAGAATAAAGATAGTATGAAATAAATCCAAAGAAGAGACTGCCTTCAGAACATAGTTTAAATTGTTAAATGTGAGGTCAGGGGACCATCTTAACACAGAAGCATCTGCTGCTCACAGCCGATGGGGGTGACCAAATTTCACCCTTAAAAATGAGGTGTTTGGGTCAGTCCTAAGAGAATTGTAGAGAATGCCCCACTTTTACATAGTGTATTAAGTCTTGGTTAGGATTAGCTTTACTTTTAGTGTAACAGCTGTAACTAATGATAAAAATTCAATTATGTAATTTCATTAGAGGGTTGCATTTTCCTTTTGTTTAAGATAATAATTTAAAAATACGATTTTGTGGGGTTTTTGGGGGGGGGTTGGTTGTGGTTTTTTTGAGACAGGGTCTCTTGGTAATACTGACTGTCCAGGAACTCTGTAGACAAGCTGGCCTCAAACTCACAGAGTTCCATCTGCCTCTGCCTCCCAGCTATAGCTTGTTTTTTATTTAAGGGCAAATGAATACTTAAGCTTTGACTACAAGGATCTCTGTATATGATCCGCATCACTTATATCTTCTAGAAGATAGTTTAATTTGTTCTTCTTGATGCTCTAGCCCCAGTTTACATTTCCATTTTAGATCTTTATACTTTATTTGGCTAGCATATTTACCTCAGTTTTAGCTCTACATAGATAGTTGAAGAGAAATGAGTGAGGCGTTTTTTGAGTGAATAGGGACTCCTGACTGAAAAATGATCCTTTGTAGATATTTCAGATTTTAATTATATTAATAAAGAAGTGAATCAATATAACAATACTTTTTATTTTATTCTCTGATAGTATCTATTTTTAAAATATTTTACATTTTGCGTTCCCAAATGAGTTACATGGGGCATTTGTGCTTATGGATAAATGTTTTTAGTTTAACGAAAAATAGTTTATTGGTCTTCTCCCCTGGCCTCTACTCTTCCCTGCTTTAAGTAGTTGGGAAGATAATTAGAAGTTCCTACAGTGTGGTCCATGGATTGAGTGCCGACACATAGGAAGCTGGTGAGACTTTTTTTTGCTGTCAGTGTCTTGTGACAAGCATGTTAAGAACATTTTTTAGGCTGGTTGAATGGTAAAGGGACAAAGGTTTTTATCTGTGATAATGCATCCTATAATATAGTGAATTAATTTAGATCATGACTTTTTTCTTCCAGATACAGTTTATGTAACTAGATGGAAGAGAATGGAATTATTCCAAGAACATAAGTTCGCAGGTGGCGGCTCCTTACTTCCAGCAAAATTCAAACTGCTGTCTCTGAAACTCTTCCTCCATTAGAGCGCTCCAGTAACCCATGAAGGCCCACGGCAGGGATGGGACTAGTTTATAGGAGAGCGTTGTCAATACCGTTTATAAAGCCAAGAATTGCCATGATTTAAGACTAAGATCTGTCTTTTTGGTGACTAACACTTCTGTTCTTTCAAGTCCTATTAATACCCGTAATCAGTAACCAACCAAGAAAAGCCTGTACTTGGAAAGTGTGGAGTTTGTGTTTGGAAAAGCTGCCTGGAGAGGAGAGTTGTGTCCTTTACCATAATTAAACAGGACTCATTGGGGAATCAAAATCATAATTTTAATTATGCATTATATTTCTTTTCTCCAGTCCTCACAAATACAGAAACCATAATTGAAGTTAACTTTTCTTTTTTAAAAAATTTATATTCAGTTTGCAGTAGACATTCCTTAAGTATTTGTATTTATTTATGATTATCAATTTTACATAACATTAATATTATATCAAACCTCCTTAAGAAAATGAGTATGGATGTTCACAGTATGTTTGATTTTATCCACAAGAATGAATCTGATTCAGAATGCTTTTCAGCTGACATACAGAGCACTAAATATTTTAAGGCAAAACCATAGGTCTGAATCTTTTAAGAATTCTCAGTCTCTATGGGATTTAGGGAAGCATTATAAATGCATTAATCCTTATAGTCAATTCTGTGCCTAGGATTTTGCAAGGGAACAGTTCACTGACTAGGAAAAGCACTACATTTAAACTTCAGCATTAGTGCATTGGGAAGGATCTTTACTGCTTTGTGCTTGGCATGTCATTATTTTCCATTTGACATTAGGGCCTTTCCAAAATGAATGTGAAGAATTGCTTTCACTTCAAGACTTTCCTTCTTTTCAGTAAAACTTTAGGAGATGTTATAGGGAAAGGGAGGGGAACTAAAATCCTTGAACTTTTTATTTGGCGTGTGCCATGTTATGATCATGTACCTTTTAACTAAGGGGAGATAGTATCTTTAAATTCAATGTCTAGCCAAGAGTTTAGTTAATGAAGAATTAAACTGCACTGTTGATCGGTGCTTTCTGTAAATACATCTTAACGCTTGGGTTGAGAGGGGCCTTAAGAAGGACAGTTCATTGTAGGAAAGCAATTCTGTACATGAGTTAAGCATACTTGTTGCATTGTCTCTGCAGATTCTATTTTTGTTTACAATATTAAAATGTATGTTAGCAAATGGGTGGATTTTCAAATAAAATGCAGCTTCCACAAAACATGTTATGGTATTCTGGTTTGAGGTGCATTCTCCTTTTTTCTTTCTTTTTTTATTATCAATATCATCGATCTTTTGCTAATAAAATTATACCCAAGTGGTTATATCTGCTGGTTTAATAAAATGTAAAGTTTGTTTTACTTAAACATCCAAAAAGAATTATGTTTGAATTCTTGTTACCATCTGGACTCACTTAGAAACTGAACTACTTACACATTTTTCCTTTCTGATCTGCTTCCCTTCAGTCAGGTAAGTTAAGGAAAAAAGTACTCTTTGATGCATAAGAATTATGTATGCTAAGAATATTTGTATTATACAGCACAGTGAGTAATAACCAGGAGTCAAAGTTCATCAAAGAGAGATTAAAAGCTTTGTACTGTTAAATGTTTTCTGTGGCTGGAAAAATCATAGTAAGCCAATGTGCCTCGTTAATAATGACTGATTTTCAAATTTCACTATTATTAAAATGTTTCCACATAAACTGAGAAATTGTGTTTTAGGTTAAGAATCCTTAAAATAGTAAGTTTTGATTTATCTCAGTATTTTAAGTGGGTATTTTAAGGTATGTGACTTCTTTCATGACATTATTTTGATAGTGTGTTTCTGCATGTGAAATGCTTTATAACCACCTCCATCTTATTGTTTAAATACTTTTTTACTCTATTAGGTAGGGATTCCTCACATTCAGTCAGTTTATGGATAGAAAACGAGAAAATGTACTTGTCCTGGATGTTAAATTAGCAGGTGGAAGAGTCAGGTGTTTAGTGGGTACAGTCCATTGATTTGCTGTCATTAATTCAAAACTGAAATGGGAATCATATCCCACAGTCTAGACTGTTGGCCATTCTTGACTCTTCTGTGAAGATGGTCTTCTAGAAAGCACATTTCCTGCTTCCTTCCCTAGTGTCTTGACATTGTCAGTAGGGAGGAATATAAACCCGATAATGACAAATTTAATCAAAATACAAGAAGGAAATTAAATCAGCTATCTTAGCTACTTTTCTATGGCTGTGGTAAGACCACCACCACAAGTGCAACGTCTCAGAAAGGGCTTATTAGAGGCTTATTGTTTCAGAGGGTTAGAGTTGTGGAGTATCATGTCAGGAAGCATGGCAACAGGCAGGCATGGTGTAGAAGTAGCTGAGAGCTTCTATCTTGACCCACAAGCAGGAGACAGAATGCAAGCCCTAACTGAGAATGGCGTGTTAGGACTTTTGAAACCACAAAGCCTCACTCCCAGTGATATACCTCCAGTAGGATCACACCTCCTAATCCTTGCCTAAAAGTTCCGCCAATTGGGGACCAAGTATTTAAACATAGGCCATTCTCATTCAAACCACGTCAACGTATAAAATCTATGCATCCCCACACATTTTACTACCTAGTTAGCAGTTGGTAGTAGTTGTGGAGGCCAAATATGCCTGTTCTAAAAGCTATATGCTTCTGATTATGTGAAAGATAGCTTTTAACCACTAACTGTGAGGTTTTGTATCTAACCCTTACATCATATTGGTAAACTTCAGCTGTTGCTCAGAACACAGCTATAGTTTTTGTACTATATGAAACTGGGCATACTGTTAAAAACTGTAAACTTCTAGGTCATTTCTTTTTTATTTTTGTGTGTGTTGGTATTTTACCTGCAAGTAGTCTATGTATCACATGCATGCCTGGTGCCCACAAAATTATAGGTGGTTATAAACCACCATGTGGGTGCTAAGAATTGATCCTCTGAAAGAGAGCCTGTGTTGTACTCTTAACCGTTGAGCTATCTCTCCAAACCCCTTCACAGGGCATTTATTTTAGGAAAAATAATGGCTGTCTTGAGACAAGTAAGTCAGCTGACTGTAGGCAAATAGAAAATTCTTCCATTAGAATGTTATGGGGGAAACCATTTTATGCTAAGCTCAAGTTTAAATTGTTTTCTAGCTGCTGTATATAATATGTTTTAAATTTTGGTGCTAGAAATCAAACCCATGGTGTGTACTCTTCCTGTGAGCTGCCTCCTATTCACAAGAGCAAACTTGGAAGATGGGTTTGAAGTCTAAGATTTACCTTGGTAACCAGCCTTGACCCTCCTCCACTTGGGTACTCTGTCTAAGCTTCCTTCAAACTCAGACACTTGCTGGTTGTTCTGTGCTCCATTCAGCTGGACATCAGGTTGTCCACAAAGTTCATTTCCTACTTCCAAGAACATTATATGGGAACATCAAGCACACCGTACTGGCACTGCCAGGTAGCTAAATGGCTGTCTTGACACCAAGTCTGCCTCTCTGATGTTTTTTGTCTTGAACTGCAAAGCCTTTCACTCCATTAAATTACTGGAGTGATTTCAAGTGCTGAAAGATAAGCTGTAGTAGAATGAAATCGACTGAAAGGTCCTAAGAAACAACCTACTCTGAGATAGGGGCAAGAGTAACTAAACAAATTGCTTGGTATTCATGATGGCCACCAGGAGCTAATCTTTCACAAGGCCCGTTGATAACTATTGTGATGCCTGACATAGGCTTATTGTCTCCTATTTTGTGGTATTTAAGTTAAATACTATGTGGTATAAGTGTGAACTCACTGGCTGAGCTTTTTATTTTTGATGCTATGTCTTAGTAAATAGTCTGGGCTGGCCTTAGTGTCTTAGAAATTCGTTGTGCCTCAGCCTCTTGAGTGATGGGATTACAGACATACACTATCACACTTTACCTCACTGACTTTGACCCTGAACCCCTATGATGTGTCTTTGGGCCTTTTCCTGACCACTGTATAATATACTGGTATAGAAAAGGGGCCTTTTGTTATTAAATAGAATGGTGTTGTGGGGAGTGGAGAGAATAAGAACGTACTAAGGGTGAGTTCATCAAAAGATAACCTAGCCCGGAGCCAGCAAGGCCAGGTCTCCAAGGGTCAAAGCAATTTGCCAAAGATCTGGTATGTGAGGATAACTAGGAGAATCCAGGCACTTGAACTCAAGTTCAAACAAAGCACTATAGCTTTTAGTATTTTTATTATTTTATGTGTATGGTTTTCCCTGCATGTATGTTTGTGCAGTGTGTGCATGCAATGCTGGCAGAATCCAAAAGAGGGCATCGGATCCCCTGGAACTGGAGTTACAGACAGCTGTGAGCTGCTATGTGGGTACAGGGAAGTGAATCAGGGTTCTATGGAAGAGCAAATGATGCTCTTAACCTCTGAGCCATCTCTCTAGCCCCTTGTTTCTATTAACACAAGCAAAATGAGGTGGTGTTTACAGTTAGCTCAAGCAAACAAGCACAGAGGTGAATTCAACTGATAGTATGTCTTAACCATCTTTGGCCATGTGAAAAGAGTCAGCAATGCCCCTCTCAGGCATGTTGCCTTTCCCGCGGAGATAATGTAGAGTTGCCAGTATTTCCTTCATGTGCTTGCTTCCAAGTGCATTCAGTTACTATAGTTTATGCAATTCTTGTAGAAGGCCACCTTGTTGGTAGAGCATTCTGCGCTCTGCCCCATCCCTAACTCACAGTGAATTCACAGCCTTCTTAGACAGACTTCCAGAGCTACTACTGCCATTTTAGATTAGCATCAGCAATAGTCATAAAATTTAAGAATACTAACTCAACTTTTAGAAACTTTCTCAAAGAAATAGTCTACAGGTGACAGTTGGGACAGGAGACTTGTCTTGAATTACATTGTATATTATAGCACATAAGTACTATATTTCAGAGGATAGGGTATATGCCACTTACAGAAGCTCTTCTACGATTCCACATGGGCAGTACAAGTTTGTGTATTAAGTATGCCAGCATATACAGACTATGTTGGAAAGTTGTGGAAGGCAGTTCTGCTTGCGTTCCAGATCTGAATTATTTTCCTGGTACCCAGACCAACCAAAGGGAAGAAAATACATTTTCTTTGTCTCCCCCCTCCCAAGGAAGTTTGGTTTTTACCACAGGTAAGAATACTGGTTCATCATCCTTGAGCAAGCAAGATTGTTTATCATTCAACCAACAGCTCCACTCATCCATCCACATTATTTTGTTTCTGACTTTACCTGTAATTCTTTTTTTTTCATTTTATTGAAAATAGTTGTTTTCCCATCACATAATATATCCTTATTTTTGTTTCAACTTCCTCTACCCTTGGTTCCTCCCCATCTCACCCCCCCCAACCTGATCTACTCAGTTTCTGTTTCTCCTTAGAAATCAACCAGGCTTCTAAGGGATAATAGTATAATATAATTAATATAACATAAGACAAGAATACATCAGAATTTGACAAAACAAGCAGAAGCAAAAGAGCCTGAGAAGATACAAGTAACAGAACAGATCACTTGTTTGAACATTATATAGCAATCCCATTTCAAGAACAAACCCCAGCTAATCTGGAAGCCATACTGTATATGACAAAGGACTTGTAGGATAAAAAGAAGAAAAAAAAACTAAGATTAAAAAATAGTAAGGTTAAATAAACAAAAAAATTCCTGACCCAACATTGTGAGACAAGGAGCAGCTAACGATGCTATTGGTTAGTATTCTGTTGGTCATCTATGACCTGGTGTGCAGCCTACTCTTAAAAGTAGTTTGTTTCCCCAGTGACACTCCTTGGAAGAAACTAAATTTGCAAGTGGTTACCAATTGGAGATTGCTTCTGGCTTGGAGACAAGGACTTGTGTCTACTTTCAGCTCTAATGCCTCACCTGGTGCAGATCTGCGTTCAGGCCCTGTGAATGCTGCCTCAGTCTGTCTGAGTTAATATGAGCTTTGATCATGTTGGCTGAGAAGGCCTTTCTTGGTGTCCTCCATCCCCTCTGGTTCTGCTGCAGCATTTCCTGACCCCTGAGGGGAGGGATTTGATAGGGACAACACATTTAAGGCAATGTTCCAAGGTCTCTCACTGCATAATGTCTGACTTTGGGTCTCCATGTTTATTCCCATCTGCTCCAGAAGAAGCTTCTCTGATCATGGCTAAACAAGGTGCTGATCTGTTGAGTGTAGCAGAATGTCTAGTCTGAGGTTCTTGGTTACCCAAGCA